AATTGCTCAAACTGACAAAGCAATTTGTGCGAACGCTCTTTAATCAATAAAAAATGACAAAAAATTTGTTTAACATGATTTCAAAGAAACAGTGAATTTATGAAGCAACCGAGTGCAAAAGTAGCTACTATTTAACATTTTCGACTACAAATCTGCCAGAACTTTACAGAAATTGCTCAAACTGACAAAGCAATTTGTGCGAACGCTCTTAAATCAATAAAACATGACAAAAAATTTGTTTAACATGATTTCAAAGTAACAGTGAATTTTTGAAGTAACCTTGTGCAAAAGTAGCTACTATTTAACATTTTTGACTATAAATCTGCCAGAACTTTACAGAAATTGCTCAAACTGACAAAGCAATTTGTGCGAACGCTCTTAAATCAATAAAACATGACAAAAAATTTGTTCAACATGATTTCAAAGAAACAGTGAATTTTTGAAGTAACCTTGTGCAAAAGTAGCTACTATTTAACATTTTCGACTACAAATCTGCCAGAACTTTACAGAAATTGCTCAAACTGACAAAGCAATTTGTGCGAACGCTCTTAAATCAATAAAAAATGACAAAAAATTTGTTTATAATGATTTCAAAGAAACAGTGAATTTATGATGCAACCTTGTGCAAAAGTAGCTACTATTTAACATTTTCGACTACAAATCTGCCAGAACTTTACAGAAGTTGCTCCAACTGACAAAGCAATTTGTGCAAACGCTCTTAAATCAACAAAACATGACAAAAAATTTGTTTAACATGATTTCAAAGAAACAGTGAATTTATAAAGCAACCAAATGCAAAAGTAGCTACTACTTAACATTTTCGACTACAAATCTGCCAGAACTTTACAGAAATTGCTCAAACTGACAAAGCAATTTGTGCGAACGCTCTTAAATCAATAAAACATGACAAAAAATTGGTTTAACATGATTTCAAAGAAACAGCGAATTTTTGAAGTAACCTTGTGCAAAAGTAGCTACTATTTAACATTTTCGACTACAAATCTGCCAGAACTTTACAGAAATTGCTCAAACTGACAAAGCAATTTGTGCGAACGCTCTTAAATCAATAAAACATGACAAAAAATTTGTTTAACATGATTTCAAAGAAACAGTGAATTTTTGAAGTAACCTTGTGCAAAAGTAGCTACTATTTAACATTTTCGACTACAAATCTGCCAGAACTTTACAGAAATTGCTCAAACTGACAAAGCAATTTGTGCGAACGCTCTTAAATCAATAAAACATGACAAAAAATTTGTTTAACATGATTTCAAAGTAACAGTGAATTTTTGAAGTAACCTTGTGCAAAAGTAGCTACTATTTAACATTTTTGACTATAAATCTGCCAGAACTTTACAGAAATTGCTCAAACTGACAAAGCAATTTGTGCGAACGCTCTTAAATCAATAAAACATGACAAAAAATTTGTTCAACATGATTTCAAAGAAACAGTGAATTTTTGAAGTAACCTTGTGCAAAAGTAGCTACTATTTAACATTTTCGACTATAAATCTGCCAGAACTTTACAGAAATTGCTCAAACTGACAAAGCAATTTGTGCGAACGCTCTTAAATCAATAAAAAATGACAAAAAATTTGTTTATAATGATTTCAAAGAAACAGTGAATTTATGATGCAACCTTGTGCAAAAGTAGCTACTATTTAACATTTTCGACTACAAATCTGCCAGAACTTTACAGAAATTGCTCAAACTGACAAAGCAATTTGTGCGAACGCTCTTAAATCAATAAAACATGACAAAAAATTTGTTTAACATGATTTCAAAGAAACAGTGAATTTATGATGCAACCTTGTGCAAAAGTAGCTACTATTTAACATTTTCGACTACAAATCTGCCAGAACTTTACAGAAATTGCTCAAACTGACAAAGCAATTTGTGCGAACGCTCTTAAATCAATAAAACATGACAAAAAATTTGTTTAACATGATTTCAAAGAAACAGCCCACGTAACCAAAATCGCCGTCAATGAAAAAATCGACTTAAATGTTAATGATTTTTCATCCATTACATTCGTTTTTCTTGAGCCGCTATATACTTCACAAGTGCAATCAGAAATCACTTATATAAGGCACAGCCAAATTTTCATACAAAGTGTGATTAATTAATTAAATTAATTACATGCGAATCATTCATTTAAATGAAGACTTCGACTCTTTTTTCAAAGACAAAATCCTTAATTAATGTTTTTGGATTTTGTCTACAAATTATAGTATAATTAACAAAAAATATTTTCATGTAAAAAAAAATTCAAAATTTTTCCGTTAATCGGTTTTTATATTGTAACGGTCAAAAAAAATTTGATTTTGGTTCAAAAAAATAATCGACGTGAAATCGACGTAAAATCGACTAAAAATCGTCCCTTTTCATATTAGCATAATGTCCAATGTACGATACATGGAATGTACATATGGAACATACATGGAAGATTTTGATGTAATACATAAAATCTTCCATTCGTCGACTTATGGTTACGTGGGAGTGAATTTATGATGCAACCTTGTGCAAAAGTAGCTACTATTTAACATTTTCGACTACAAATCTGCCAGAACTTTACAGAAATTGCTCAAACTGACAAAGCAATTTGTGCAAACGCTCTTAAATCAACAAAACATGACAAAAAATTTGTTTAACATGATTTCAAAGAAACAGTGAATTTTTGAAGTAACCTTGTGCAAAAGTAGCTACTATTTAACATTTTCTTCTACAAATCTGCCAGAACTTCACAGAAATTGCTCAAACTGACAAAGCAATTTGTGCAAACGCTCTTAAATCAACAAAACATGACAAAAAATTTGTTTAACATGATTTCAAAGAAACAGTGAATTTATGATGCAACCTTGTGCAAAAGTAGCTACTATTTAACATTTTCGACTACAAATCTGCCAGAACTTTACAGAAATTGCTCAAACTGACAAAGCAATTTGTGCGAACGCTCTTAAATCAATAAAACATGACAAAAAATTTGTTTAACATGATTTCAAAGAAACAGTGAATTTATGATGCAACCTTGTGCAAAAGTAGCTACTATTTAACATTTTCGACTACAAATCTGCCAGAACTTTACAGAAATTGCTCAAACTGACAAAGCAATTTGTGCGAACGCTCTTAAATCAATAAAACATGACAAAAAATTTGTTTAACATGATTTCAAAGAAACAGTGAATTTATGTAGCAACCTAGTGCAAAAGTAGCTACTATTTAACATTTTCGACTACAAATCTGCCAGAACTTCACAGAAATTGCTCAAACTGACAAAGCAATTTGTGCGAATGCTCATTAATCAATAAAACTTGACAAAAAATTTGTTTAACATGATTTCAAAGAAACAGTGAATTTATGATGCAACCAAGTGGATAAGTAGCTACTATTTAACATTTTCGACTACAAATCTGCCAGAACTTCACAGAAATTGCTCAAACTGACGAAGCAATTTGTGCAAATGATCTTAAATCAATAAAACATGACAAAAAATTTGTTTAACATGATTTCAAAGAAACAGTGAATTTATGATGCAACCTAGTGGAAAAGTAGCTACTATTTAACATTTTCGACTACAAATCTGATAGAACTTCACAGAAATTGCTCAAACTGACAAAGCAATTTGTGCGAATGCTCTTAAATTAATAAAACATGACAAAAAATTTGTTTAACATGATTTCAAAGAAACAGTGAATTTATGATGCAACCAAGTGGATAAATAGCTACTATTTAACATTTTCGACTACAAATCTGCCAGAACTTCACAAAAATTGCTCAAACTGACAAAGCAATTTGTGCGAATGCTCTTAAAACAATAAAACAAGACAAAAAATTTGTTTAACATGATTTCAAAGAAAGAGTGAATTTATGAAGCAACTTAAAATCGAACTTAGGATACATTTTTATGCAAGTCGACTTTTTTTGAAAAATGTCGACTTGCATGAAAATGTGTTCCAAGTTTAATTTTAAGTTGGTCGACATTTTTCAAAAAAAAGTCGACTTTCATAAAAATGTATTCTAATTTCGATTTTAAGTTGGTCGACATTTTTGAAAATGTCGACTTACATAAAAATGTATTCTAAGTTTAATTTTAAGTTGGTCGACGTTTTTGAAAATGTCATATAAATATAATTATGTTAATTGTATGCTCATGAGTATGTTAAAGAAGTGTATTCAGAAGAGTAAATACCCATGAGTATGTTCTTAATATTCTTATGAGAATGTTCAGTAAGTGCACCCATACGAGTATATTCACATAAGTATGTTCTTAATATTCTCATGAGTATGTTCAGTAAGTGCACTCATATGAGAACGAAAAAAAATTATGTCACACAGAAGTGAGTATGTTCTTAATATTCTTATGAGAATGTTCAGTAAGTGCACTTATACGAGTATATTCGCATAAGTATGTTCTTAATGTTCTCATGAGTACACTCGTTGAATGTCCTCACGTGTGCTTATAAATTTTTTGCAAAAAAATAAAGTGAGTACATTCGTAATGAACTCCTGAGCATGCTCAGTTGAATGAGCTTGCATGAGTATAATTTTTGAGTAGACTCACTTATATGCTCACTTTTCTGAGCATGCTCTTTGTATGTTCGGGATAGGTTCCGAGTTCACGGAGAGATGTAATTGGAACAGTTCTTTTTATAAGAAATAGAAAACTTACAATCACATTCAAGTAAATAATTTTGCGTCATTTTTTTTGCATTTTCAAACATTTATTTTACCTTTTGCATTATTGATAATGTCAGCTTTAAAGCCATAAGATTGCACGTAAAAGTGACCTAAACTTAAGAAAGAAACAGAGATGTTCATTTATGTACCTACCTACAAAACGAAAGTAATTTTAAGTTCCTAGAATAAGTAAGCTATCTGAAAACAACGAGTAACGTACTACTCTCAACAAAATCAATTGTAAAGAAGATTTAAAGCTTTTATTTGCAGCTTTCAAAATGTAAATTTAAAAAGAAAAATTGGTGTGAATATGAAAAAAAAGTTATAAAGTTTAATTGGTATGAGAAATTCAAAATTTATTATATGCATTGGCCTTAAGTAATTTATAAAAGAACCATTACTATTTACTTCCTTAAATTGAATAAATGTGACTTAAATTAAATTTAAAAATGTTGAATAAACTTATTGGAACCTTTTTTTTTTATATTATATATCATTGATACAAAAATAAAGCATGCATATTTGACAACTATAACTTTAGGATGTAACTTTTTCTGCTGGCTTGAAAGTAAAATTTTGACATAAGCGATCGAATTCCGTCTCTTTCTTGGAAAGTTCATCAACCAACTCGCTATTTTTGCAGGTTTCCTTTAATAATGATAGATAGCGATTAACTGTAACTTCTGCATTTTTATCGGTTTGTTGTGAAAGAAATATATAATTAACTAAAAGATCATAATTATTCGGCTCTTTGTCAAGTCCATCTCGTAAATAGTTGGCAGTTTCTTCTTCAGAAAATTTATGCTGTCCGATTGCACAGACTGCTAAATTATTAAGAAGCAACACTGACGAGCTGAGCTTATCTTTGAAGTCATCGAAAATATAGTGTGCATCCTGTAATTTTTCTCCACCAATCTCAATATTCATCCATGCCTGTGCTAATTGTGTTAACGTATCATCATCATTCTTTTCAGACATTGCAGTTAAAATTTTCTTAGCAAGATCTAGACGGCACATTTTCAAATATACATAAACTTGAATAGCTTGACATTCCAAATCATTTGTTCCGTTTAAAATCCGCAGAGCCTCCTCGAGCTGATTCTCCTGTATATACATAATACTTGCTATGACTTTCCATACAATATGAATATCATCTGATCCAGAAATCTTCTTTTCGAAAATCTCAATCAGATCAGCAAACTTGTTCTTATTCATTAGATAGTCAGCAAACAACCTTATAGACAGCAAATCACCACTATCAGATGGGCTAAAATTTGTCGTCTTGAAACAAATTACTTACTTTTAACAAGTGAATTAGTTATAATTACCTAATTTCATCGAGAACAATGCGAAATCGATTTGTTGCTAGATATGAGCGATACATGAATATATCCTTCTCCAAAAGTGGTTTCTTTAAAAAAGAATTGTTAAATGATGAGCTGGAAGATTTCTTGTTCATTGAATATTTTCTCAGTTACCTTTATTTTCTCAGCTAAACTTATACAATGCTGATAATTACCGATGTAAAAAGCATTGGAAATGTCAACAAGAATTGGATCTGTCATCTTAGTAAGTTAATTCTATTATTTTTTTGGAAAAATTAAATCGCTTATAAAAATTTCTTCGAATGAAGGGGGTACGACTCTGTAAAATTTTACTAATATCACCCACTTAATAATCTATAATAATACGCCCTATCTCCATTTATAATTCAGAACAAAGTAATATAAATAAATAAAGTTAAAACTTTGATTAAAGTTTAAAACTTTTATTTAAAAAAAAAGAAAAATAAAACAATATTTTCAAATATCAATATTGAATTCTTTTTACCAGTCGTTAACAAATTGAAATGTTATCAAGGGTTAAATGAAAAGTTTCTTTATATTTATTGAATTTTAATAGCATTAATAACTTAATACCATTATTATTTGCTGTAATGAACTTGAAAAGTCATGTAGTTCAAATTATAAATAGTTCAAGTTAAAATTATAAATTTTCAATAAAGATGTTATAAGCTATTCATGGATTTGCCCTATTCAACTTTTTTTACGAGTAATATTAGAAAAATTTAAAAGTATATTTAATTAAGTTAAGCGTGTATTATACGATAAAAGAAAGTGTAAATTTTTTATAAATAATTATGATATGAAGTCGATTAATAATTATGGCGAGTTAAATTGCTCGGAAAGTATAATAGAATATTTTTATTTAATATCAAATCAAAACACAAATGAGAAAAAAAGATTATCTGCAATTAATTCATGTACCAAAATAATTAATACTAGCAGCAACAATATATTTACAACAGAAGAATTCTATTATTGGTAAAGATTTATTTTTTTAATTACGCTTTTATATATCTTAAAAAAATTATTATTTTTTCTTCTGCTCTATTCTACTACCTACTGTATTGACGATTCATCATACACTTGTTTTTCCTCTCTTTTCAGCCTAAGCAAAAACTTTGTACATCCATCATGTCCACAAATTAGAGCTGCTACGTTAAGATTGTCAAGATATTTATTAAAAACACCAAATGATTTGCAGGTAAGTAATGAGTAATAAATTTGATTTTATAATAGCGTACATTATTTCTTATTATATGTGTGTCTAATCTGTAATTTTTTTTTTCAGATATTTAACAACCTTCAACTTCCGATTCTTGTTTGCAGGAGTCTTGATTTGGTTGTTAAAAATGAGGAAGAGAGAATTCAAGCATTAAAATTAATTAGAAAAATGATTTTAATATCACCCGAGCAATTATCGCCAAAAATTGTCAGATGTTTAACATCGCTAGCGGATACAGTAACGATTGATGGTGCAAAACCAGATCGCATTGTGAGGGCTTGTTTAGCAACTTTATCGGAATTGGGTGTTTTAAATCCAACACTTTTTATCATGTCAAACGGAGTCCATGTAATTCTTCGGAATGTCTTGGAGTGTGACTCACCCAAAATGGCAGAAAGCTTAGTTGGAGTTTTATTGCATTTATTAGAATATCCTCATACACGAATGATATCTGGAATTCGATTGGATTGTCTCGCAGCACCATATTGCGACTTTACCTATCGATTATGGGATAAAAATAAAGATGCACGAGAATTGAGATTTAAGTGTTCACGGCTAGCTTTATTATCGGTCCTGAGAAGCTATAATGGTGCAGTCGAGTTTTGTAATCCAAACAAATCATCAGGTCTGAAAGCAGTCATTGACATTTTGTACCTAAATCAGTTGGAAGTTCGAAAAGCTATTTTGGACTTTATGTATGATTTGATAGGACTTCCTCAAACGATATGGACCGACGAGTATTCTGTGGCATTACAGGCAGTTGATCCGTCAGATTACCAGGATTCATGGAGACTATCTGAAGGATTTGTCGCGTTCGAAGGTCGATCAATTTTACCAAGTTTTATCAACAAAGTGCCCAATATTTCTGAAATACATCAAGCCTTCCTCCTATACTGTTTCATTGAAAACGGTTTGCTCAATGCCTTAGTCGAAGTTATAGTCAGTAGTGATACCTTTATATCTGTACGTGCAACAATCTTATTGGCCAGATTACTTCAATTGATTCATACGACATTACCATCCAATACGGACCATTATGCACCACTGCCTATGTTAGTCGCGAAAGCAACTCAAGGAAATTATCAGGCGAGGGCCGCAATATCGGCATTACAATCATATCATTCAATTATAAAGAATCGACCAGCTGCGTGCAGTCTCTATCTTGACTGTATAATCCAAAATGGTGATTTAATAAAATCGAGGCTCTTTAAACGTGAAATTGATGCTGTTGAAAGTCTTTCCAAATCTGCTAGTCTTACATTATTTGAACGAATGCGTCACGATTCCATTGGCTCTGCTGATGCGAGTAACTATTATGAGCATGTACGTGATACCACTAGTTTGAATATAAGTGGCGAAAACGAAACGAGTAAAGAACGAGCGAAAAGATCAACACTTATTCGACAAAAAGTCGTAGGATTTTTTGAAAAATTTAAAGAAAATGAACGATTGATTAAGGATTCACTGGTTTTGACTCATGTTGATCCTGCAAAATGGGATTGGGAGATAATTGTAATAATTTTTCGAAACAAAAATCTCAGCACAAAGTTGGATGAGAATCAGTTGAAATTCATTAAAACGCTAACGCAATATTTTAAGCCAAGCAGTAATAAATTCTCTCACATGGAACTTGGAATGGGAAGAATTATTCCTCCAAATGTTCACGCTGGAATCATGCTAATTGACTATTTACTCGAACAAATTGATGAATTAGAGTACATGAGAATACTAACCGATTATTTCTCCGACATTAGCAGCAATCTTCAAGCAATTTACAAAAAGAAAGCTCATGTAATATATTCTTTCTTTATATTATATTAATCACTAATCCTATTAAACTTATTTCTAATTTTTAGGATTGTTTGTTCTCGCCATCTCATATGAACACGACAATGTGTCAGCAATATTTTTTGTTTATTGGACGGATGTGTCGATCAAAGAAAGGCATAGATATTTTGAAAAATACCGATATTATAAAGCACCTTACGTATCTTGTAGCAAATACAAATCACACAATTTATGTAAAATTGATTGTTTCTGGATTAGACTACTCAACGCAGAGTTTACCACGTTTGATTCTTGAAAAAGCTTTACTTGCATCGCCAAATCAAGCATCACGCTTATATGCAACGCAATTTTTGCTTGTTTTATTAAGAGCGCGATTGCCGGCATTTGAAGAATACGGGATTCCTTTCGTAATGAATCAATTAAAGGATAAAGATAGGGCTATTATGCTAGCTGCAATGGAAATATTGGAAGAGGCTTGTCACGAAAATATTTATTTATTGGAACTGGCACATGTTTGGCCACAATTGGACAAATATAATGAAATGGGGAAATATATTATGATGAGATTCTATTCAACGCCTCGAGGTCTAAATCATCCGAAAGCAAATGTGAGAGATGAAATTGATTTATGGATTAATGTTTACAATAAAAAGTATGTCATGTTTATTGAATCTGAGATTCATTCATCGATGACTTTACATCAAAGAAATGAAGATGGCTATTATATGAGTCGAAATACCTTTAATCAGAGACAATTTATTAAGACAACAACTATACCTTGTCATCTTTATGGAGCTCTTGTTCAGACTCAATCCGGTCTGGGATACATACAAAAATATGGAAACGTTATGCATTACATTGACATCTTAACTCAAGGAAAATGTGCTAATGACGAAGAATGTCTACAACTTAAATCTGCTTTGTGGCTCCTTGGTCACATATCAACAAACAGTGATGGAATTGATTTCCTTAATAATCCAGTAACAAAAGTTTTTGAGAAAGTAATTAATTTGGCGAAATTTGCTGAAGTTTATTCTATTCGTTCAACTGCATTTAATGTCATTTGCCTTATGAGTGTAACCGTCAACGGATCAAATATCCTTCATAAACTTGATTGGCTAAGTGTTCGACATGATCGCAATAATGAATTTCCAGTGTTAGAACCAGAAGATTGGCACCTTAAAAATCCATCCCCAATTCGGTATCATCATATGCCGGCTTATAACTACGGTACGATGGATGAAAGTATTATGATTAATCTTAGCGGCAGTAATTTAAATCCATCGTTTTACATCGAGGAGTCAAATGACTCCATTCGAGAGGATGACGTAAGTGATTTTTAAGTTTTTTTTTTCTAGTGTTTTCATAAAATATTTATTGCACACGAATAATTTTTTAGGATCTAAATGAGTCCCTCAATTTAAATATGACAACATCCACTCAACGATCGCGTACTCTACCCGCCAACATTCAACCATCCCAAATGTATCAAAGAAACAACAACGCTACTAAACATATCCGGTCACTTTCGGAATCAAAAACAACAGATGGCATTATGAGAATAAGCTCGTCAAGCAATCGAACAAGATTTAATTCGGGAGATTCCAACACATCCGAACTTAGTAGCTGCGATTCAGTTAATACGAAGACACTAATAAGTAAGTAAAATTTTGGAATTAAATTTATATTCGATAGGTTAAAACTATATATATTTTCAAATTGTGTAGATGAGCGATTCAGAAGGGTGTCTTTGACAGGAAACATCTTAGATACAAGTCAGTTGTCAAATCAGGATGTGCATGGATACAAAAAATTACGTATGATTAGACAAAATCTCAGGCCAATGTTGAGCGAGTCCAACACAGAAGATATTCTGGCGGATGTATTTGAGAATGATGGGAATCCTAAGACAGCGAATCGTCTTCTAAATACATTTAATATCGATTCGAAACGAAAGCTTAACAAAAAGAATGTCAAATCTCAAGCAATCAATAATTCAGGGTAATTTAACGCACAATAATTGCCTGTCCGATAATTTAAATTAACTTATTTTTTTAATCATTTCCCAACAGATATGATGATGATATTCAGAAAAATATATATGTTGCAAAGCTATTAACACAAATTGATACAAAAGGTCCTTGCTATAGAGGTGAATATATATTTATATATATTTTATTTTTTATCAATTAAAATTAATTTTCCCAACGAATTATGTGTGCTTATTCTAGGAATTTGTCTTCCACGGAACATCCTTGAATTATTTCCAGATGATCAACAAAATGGAACATATATTCATGACATTGAGACCCTCGAGTCAAATAATTTATCAATTTCGTCTATTATTACAAAGAACCACCAATATCCGATAGATAATGCTGGAGAGAGCTTAGGACAAGGACCTGATGAGTCGACTGTTTCAAGTTTATCAGACTTATCAGGAGGCAATAAGAAAACTAAGCGACGTCCAGTAATATCATTAATAACAGCAATAACGACTGAACAAAATATGAATATGAATACAATTGAGAATGATAATCAATCGAATATGATTCGTTCAATGAGTTCAGGTGGCGGAACCAAGAGACATAATAAGGATGAATGTTTAATATGTTGTCGAAAAAAAGTTTTTGATACATCACTAATTATACAAGAGTCCAAAGAGATAACAATAACGACAAATGGACAAAAGACTCGCGATTCTTCGGATGTGTCGTTTTATTCGCCCGAAAGTGTCATCAGTGATGACTCTGCAATGACCACTAACATGCCTGATCGCATCTCAAATATAATTTTGAGAAATTTTCAAAAAATGGCAAATCCAATTTTATTTAAAACGTGTCGAAAAATTTTGATGGATTTAAGGCAAAAATATCCTCAATCGTTTCAAGATGTCTGTCTTTATTCAGAAGTTTGTAAATATATGGGAATATGTAATTATAGAATGACTGTGCGTCGCTTTATTCAGGAAATTTTTTTGGATCTTAACTATGATGTTTTTAATAATGACATTGATTTAATTTTAAATGTGGCACGTCAACGTTTTGCCGATCAAAAATTATTGGATGCATCTAAAACATTTCCCTCGACATCATCACCACAATCAACCATAAATTCACAAATTTTAAATGTTTCACATATACAAAGTTATCATACCCCATCACCATCACCATCATCATCATCATTAGCATCATCACAAGCAATTTCTTTATCACATAAATTGCATTCTATTAAATCACCTTTATTAGCCAGTGTTCATGAAAGCAGTATAGAAAACTTGATTGATCCTCCGAAAAGCACCAAAGATGAAGTTGATTCAGTTAATAATAAGAATAATTTGAAGTCAACTGGTTACAATAATAAAAATTCTCCGGGAAGTTTACAAAAAGTTACGGCCGAGATTCATGGTTATCATCAGAAGAAAGACACAGAATGTGCTGGCTCTGAAATCATACGACCGATTCGCAGGCGACGTTTCAATACTTTGGAACTAGATTTGAGTTGTACGATCAACAAATTTCCTATTAAACATCGCAGTAGTACGCAAGCACAAGTTACAACAGCAAAAATAATGGAGGGAAGGCCTACTTCATTAAGCACCGCTCCAAACGATAAGGATGGTGAACAATCATTCATAACGAGAAACTTTTCAACCAGCGATCATAGTTTTGAGTACACAAGAAGCATAACTTCACCAATATCTCCACTTGCTCCTTTATATCCTTTATATTGTGAACAAAGATTACTTCAATCTTCACGATCGGAGGCTACTCTTAGTAAAAGTAATAATATTAGTAATAATAATAATAATAATAATAACATAAGCGACGATGGAAGAGAAAAATGAGATCAGTAAAACAAAATTCACACACACACGCGATACATACGAGAAAAAGGAATGCATTATTTAAACAAAAACACATTATAATTATAATTTTTAACTGTACATAGCTTAAGAAAAACGATAGAAAGAAATATGACGTTTACATATTACAAAATGTATAGACGGACAAAAGCAAACACGTTAAAACTTTTAACTTAAAAGATAAAAACAGCAAGTTGATGATGAGAAAATTATGGAGTGTCCAAAGATGTAGATACCGACTCGCCACCCACATTTCTTGCTAAACTCAAGAAAATCCACACGAAAAGACTCGATTATATAAGCTTTGTTACTGTTAAGGCAGCTACGCTTTTTAGTTTATTTTTAATCAACACTTGCTTTAATAATATTAAATATCCATATCTTTCACATATTTACTACTCTGATTTATAAAAAAAAAGTCTCTAAATTCATCTCTGGCTAGCTCCTTGATTTTCTCTTCATGAAGCTTTAAGCTTTCTGTTTGACAAAACAACACTTGAAAACGATATTTTATACGAATTTTTCCGAGATACCTTTAAACAAAATGATGAAAAATCTATTAAATTAATACCTAATAATAATAACAATAAAAATAATTATATTGTTGAATCTTCTATCATCACGTTCGCTTAAAATTATAGTTATTTCAAGGAAGAAAAAACGAATATTAAAAAAATGAAGAATATTTTAATTTCCTTTCATTTATTTATTAAAGATAGTTTTATATCCTGATCCTCAATCACAAATCCCCATTTCCCAGAATATGAACGCAAAGCAAAATTACGAAAAAAACATAATAATTTTATTTATAATATTTAACAGTAACGAGGAGAAGAAGAAGAAGAAGAAGTAGAAAAACGACTAATTTACTTTAATTATTTTGTACAATCAATGCATTATTCATATTTTTTTTTAAATAGATAAAAAAAGATATGAGTATCTCAATAATACAAGAAAGAACATAGAATCGATAGATATTTCAAAATGCCTAAATAATAGATAGTTCAATCAGAAGAAATTTCCATTTTACAAGTCATAAAAAAATTCATAGAAATGTTAATCACTGACAGTACTCTACAATATTTTTAACAATATGTTCACACACATCAATTCATACTTTTTTGGTATTCTGAACATGATCATGATATGATTTACAATAAATGTCATAAATTATTTGAAACTGAAAAGAAAAAAAAACTTTAACTTTAACATAGAGAAAGAAACATGTAAAAATTGTTACTAACATAAAATTATTAAATAAATACTTTCTTGACTGGATTCTTGTTTCTAATTTCTTCAAAATCTCTCGTTTGTTTTGTCTTTTTGAACTTTGTGATTTATTTCAGGTAGCATGAAAGTTTTCTACTTACGAGTAAGTTGATGAGAGGATTTTAGTGTCTCGTGAAACGTGGTCTCGAGAAGTTGTAATTCACATCATACACGCGGAAGTTAAAAAATCGTAACGGCTCGAGAAAATTTAAAATCTTAGACAATTCGAGCATAGGAATTATCGCGAGTTCATGTCGTCCATATTGAAAAAATACATAGTTTAGCCAGGGAATAAATTAATTAAAAAATACCGAAATAATGAAGCGAGTACAGCCAACAATAATGCAACCACAACATAATACGATAATGCGTCGTGTAAGGAATTTAATTTGTTTCTAAATGGATGGATTATGTTGAAGATATTGAATTAAAATTAGCGCTTTCATGAAAAGGGGACGCGCTTTCATTTTTTTGCTTCAACTTAATTTTTTTGGCATAAAATTATTTATTTTTTTATCGTTCAACTATCAATCTTTAAATGTATCAGTGAATTGTTTGATAAAGTATGTTAATTTATATCATTGTAGGTAATTCAGCCACGAGAAAATTCACAAAGTTTAAACGCAGTGAATAAAGTGAGCAATTTATCGAATGTCACCGTATCTCCATCAAATTCACCACGAGTGATTCGACAAACGATTTATGCTTCTCCACAAATTCAGACCAACATAAAGTGTTTTATATGCGATGAAAATATCATGGGAGCACCGACAAGCCTTAAAGAAACTGAAACCAGTACATCTCGTGAGAAAGTCACAAAGAAACTTGCCAGATTAGTTGGTGATGAATTTTGTGTTATTGTATCAGAAGAGGACGTAATTTGTAGGCGTTGTCTTACATTGTTTAATACTATGGATAAGTACGAATCTGATATTCAGAATGTAAAAACTCGTTTAAGGGGATTCATAAACAAAAAGTATGGAATTGAAGAGCCTGAAGAGCCTCCTGTGAAAATTCAAAGATTAAATGAGCAACAATCGTCTGGTGTTCACAGCAGCAGCAACAACAATAATAATAACACTAATAATAATTATCGATGGCAAAACAATAGCGTTGATGAGTCTCCAACTCGTAAAGTTCCAGCAGTTGTAGCTTCAGTCAATAAAGAGACCGCCGAGAGTCAATTAAAGCATTTAGCTAATTCAAAACAACGCGGTCCAGTTAAGCTCTACAAATGCATTGCATGTGACTTTAAGACAACAGATCTGAATGCTTTTCAGCCGCATTCGAGTGTTTGTAAAGGGCAACAACAACAACAGCAGCAGCAGCAACAAACAAAACCAAATACTATTATGTCTCCGCAAAATCGAGTTAATCGTGTAGCATATCAAAATAGTCCTCAGCAGCAGCAACAGAAGGTAGTATCATCTCCAATCTCACAGCAAGTAGGCAGAACTACAATCATTCGAAGCAGTAATTCATCTCAATTTAGCTGTCAGCAGTGCGAGTTTAAGACAAATGATCGAAATTTGTTTGCTGATCATCAGCGTAATCACATGAAGCTTCGACCATTTAAATGTCGCATGTGCTTGGAACGATTTGCCACACGAGAAGCTGCACAAACTCATGCTAAAATTCATTCTGGAAATGGAATGAAGTGCGGAATTTGTAATCGTCAATTCATCAAAAGAGAGGTGTTTGAAGCTCACATGAAGACACATGAAAAGTTCAAGACTGTCTCACAACAAGAAGTCATTGTAATGAATAAGAGCACTGAAAGCATTGGAACAGTTCAGAAGCCTTTAACTGACATCATAAAGGAAGCATTGAGCGAGGAGGATCAGGATGGCGTCAATGAGTTCATCGAGTTTCATTCATGTAATTTGTGTTCGTTGACATTTGTTAACAAGAAACTTTACGCTCAACACATGAAAACACATGAGAGTCCTTCTTCTGTACGAATTGAGGAGTCACAAACGACTTATGGCAAGAGTAAATCTCAAATTACAGAGGGAGATTTGGAAAGTATATTTGAGAAAATGCATTCTGAAAATGTCACAATATCAAATGGTTCGAATAATGGCAATGAAAATATCTTGATTACAACACAAGATAGTGGCGGAATCACATACAACATCACTATTCCCCAAGATGATATTCCACATGAACAGGTACTTTACTTTAAACAATAATTTGTTGTCATAAATTCTGACATTTAGGATGATTTTTATTTTTATTGCAGAAAAAAGTTCGTATTGACATGCCAAATTTGGACGATACAGGAGATGATTCTCATAAGAATGAAACAGAACAAACGCTGAATCGTGCTCCCGTTAGCATGCCAAGTTTACATGACGATGAAAATACACAGAGTAGCCAAGAACAGCAACAGACTTCGGAAAATCTGCAAGGAGATCAAGGTCAAGAAATTCCAATGGATCTCGAAGAATTACAACAAGCTGCCGAAGGGCAACAATTGAAATTCATTGTAGACGAAAATGGACAATTTTTACAGTTGGATAATCACATTTTAACGACAGACTCTGAGGGAAATCAAATTTTAGTGCAAGGTACGAATCAGGAACAGTTGCAGCATCTATTACAAAGTGTTGGCGTTGATGGAAATCAAGTACTTGTTCAATTACAAGGAAATGGTGAAGGAATTGACGGTGAGGGTGCAACGCTTCAATTTGGCGAAGGTGGACAGGGTCAAATGATTCTCGTACAGAACGAAAATGGAGAGAGTCAGTTGATTGATGCTTCGATGCTTCAAACAGAAGGCGGTAATTTAGTATTGCAACAAGGAGCCGATGGTGAGACAACGCTTACAACTGCTGATGGCATTCCTGTATCTGTATCATTTACTGGTGATGGTGGTGATGGTCAAATAACAGTCACAATGGCAGGAACTGGAGAAGATGGTCAGCAGATTTTCATCCAACAACCCGTCGAAATGACAGAAGGTCAAGAACAAGTTTCACATGAAGGAGAAACAGCCATGCAACTTGAAGAGAGTTCACAGGACACATCAACGATGCCTGAAAATAATACAGAAACAGAGAATCCAATTGCTGCATCTGAAGAAGAAAAAGTCGTCCTCGAAGTCGAATCCAATAATGACGATAATAAATCAAAAGAGTTGGAGGCTACGGACGAAAGTGAAAACAAAGATACAGCATTAAACAAAGAAGACGAAAAAGACGACGATAAGGAATCCATAGAAAAAGTATGACTTTAATGATAAACATACATACTGGAACAGGCTATAACACTATGTTTATTTTATTTTCAGTGAATTTCAGTGAGCTGTTGAGAACTTTCTGTACAAGAATACATCCATTACAATAGCTTGATAAAAAAAAACTCATCATACAGAATAGAAAGAAACAGAGTTGAGAAAGTTCACGATCCTTCGTAAAACAAATTATGCTTGTACTAGTTCGTTCGCCTAAGATGATGAAATAATGTTATTATTGGTTACTTCTTTTCGTCACTCTTATCGTTTTGTCTGACGAAAACTAGGACTTTTAATTGTAAAAAAAAATTAAACATATAGTAGAAAGTAATCTTATCTTAATGAAAAAATAAGAAAAAGTAAAACAATAGCTAGAATGTTGACGTAGTTTATGATGCTTTACTATGTAAGTTGAATTTCATTCAGAAATATGATTAAAGGATGTGAAGACAACTCACATTTTCTGTGAGATTGTGAATATTAATTAATTTACTAATCTTTTTCTTACAAAATAAATTTTTCTTTTACTTCTTTTATCTTCACTTTTAATGATGCCCCCTTTATAACATTCACAAAAAAAAAATATTCAAGTTTTTACATTTCTAAGCTAAATAATAATAGAACATAAATGCACTGTGTACTAGCTATGTACAAAATGCAGCAAAAATATTAATTATGTGTATCTGAAATTAATAAATAAATGAAAAAAAAAATGTTAAAAATATTAAGTAATATCAAAAATAAGGACTTTACAGAAAAAGAACTATTTTCAAAATTATAAACTCTTTCATTATTCTTTCTTAATTATAGTTTAGATTTTTAATAATAAAAAAAAGAAGAAGAAGAGAATAATCCGATAAATGAGAAACATATATTGTTAGGCCTTTGAACCCTATAAAAAATGAAGGAAATTATTTTTCATAGGTATATTAAGAGATAAAGAATTGTATGTTAAATCTTATCTTGTAAATATCCTTTAAACAAAAATGAGACAGAATAAAATGATTTGAAATATTCATGCAACAAAACCACTCCTATGTCTTTTAACTTCACGCTTTTTTCATAATTTAAATAATTAACGGCTACTTTGGAACTTCAACCATGCTGGAAAAATTTATTTGACTGCAGCAAAAAATTATAAAATATAATTAAATTAATATAATTCATACAGTTATCAATATTAGATGGATTTCATATAATAATTTTCTTATCACCAAATTTTATTATATAATAAATATAATTGAAACTTTACATTTGTAGGCTGTCGATTCTTTTCCGAAATTGTCCAAATGATGAAATATAATAATTTATTATGTAATGAAGTCAATCATCTCGTTTTAAATATATTGAGATAAGGTTCTGGACCAATAGAATTTACATGAGTTGTGTAAAATCTGTCACGTAATATTGAGAATTCAATAGCACTTTCTCACGAACTTGATTACCTCCAAATCCGATAAAGAAATTGGCTGGTGGACAGGCTTCTAAATCTGTTATTCCATCTCCGATCATGACAATGACTTGTTGATTGTTTAATATTAATTGACTTTTGTTAAAGTTTCTAATATGAGTAATTGCATCTCCTTTTCCACCACTTCGACTGGAAATAAAAATGCGTTTAAGTCATAAGAATAAAATTACAAAATATGACAAACAGTGCACGTGGAATAAGCATGTTATATTTAAATTACCTGGTTGGCTGATTTGTGTCGAATCCAGCATAGTTTCCATTATAATCAAAAAGAAGCTTGTTGGCAAACAAATTCGTCAGTGGAATTCCAAGTTCTTGACAAACCTTCAAAAATAATTAATTATTAGGTCAAATCAGTGATCAAACTTTATATGCTTACCGGATCAATCAGAGAATGAAAACCTCCGGAAATTAAATAAATCTTCTTGTTCATGCTATGAAGATAGTCAATAAAATCCCTAGAAAAAAAAACAGTTCATATATTATTTTCAACAATGTAATAATCAATCAGCTGATTATATGTCAAATGTATTAGGTCAATTAGTCATGTATTTTCAACTTACTTAATATGAGGAGATAATGTACTGGGCTTTTCTATCAAAAACTGTCTAATTTGTGATTGAGTTGGCTTAATAATGTCCAATCGACGACGAAGAGCTTCTTGGAAAGTCATAGATCCACCCATTGCTTCCTTTGTCAAATTTGACACTTCCTCACCTTTTCCACAAAATTCTGCCAATTCATCAATTCCTTCCTCAACAATAACCGTTGAATCGACATCGAAGCAAATAATATCAGATGATTGTATGATTCTTTTAGCATCTGAAATACGCTTTGTTTTATTACTATCAGCTGATACTTTGGAACCGGTTGTTGAAGTATTAATATTGCGCACTAATGACTGTATCTGAGGCATGACTGTAGGTATTAATGAGTTTGAACCATTTGATGTCGACGAAGCGATCGCCACTAAACTTACAAACGATTTGTTCCAACTGTAATAATACAATTAGTGCATTTTTAATATCATTTTATTTTAATAAGTTTTATGCAGGAATCATGAAAATCAATCACCAAGCTTAGTATTTCACTGACGATGAATATTTTCTTACCGATTCATTTTTGGAGTGTAATTTAAATTTCAGTTACTAAGGTCGAAAAATGTATCAAATATGTAGAGCAATGTAGAGCACTATCTCTTTAATTTAATTGAAAACTGTTTTTTTTACAAAGTTTATTGGCACTTAAATTTGAAAATATATATAATTCATTAAAATAGCACTAGATCGACACGTTTTTGCTTCCATGAGCTTCCAATACTAAATAGTTGAAAAACTACTTGGTCAACAGATTTTAAAAGAATAAGTCTATAAAACTTGTTATCACTACTTTAAATACTTCACGAGACTGATGCTACTCAATTAATGTTTTCTGCTATATATACTGAGATTGAGAAGATGAAAAAGAAAGTACCAATATTGCGTTTTGTGTCTGGTATATACGTAAACAAAAAAACCATAGAAACAAATGAAAAATATTGAGAACTTAATAGGAAGGAAGGAATTTCTGATAAGAAAATGACTAAAATGATTTTTTTATATTCACACCGTTTTCACGTGTGAATCTATTGGTTTTGTTCAGATTGAAAAAATAAATTTTTCGCATTTTGTGAGAAAACGAAGCAAAATTGGTTATAAAATGTCCAACAAGAAAAGTTTGTGCCTGAAATTTCACATCATTTTCAAAAAACAGATTTCAAATTGGTTGTGGCATTGCTGAGAAAATCGCAAAATACGCTTTCTGTAAGCAAACAAGCAAGCAAGCAAGTTAATCAGCAAGAAATCTCAATAACGAGACATTGTAGAGACTTCTAGTTTTTTACATTTGACCCGTGCTGCTCTATAGAAGAGCTGTATTGTTTTTGGGCAAGGTAGGAACAGCCGTTGCTTCAGAAAAAGCAAAAAACTTTCCTTTCCTATGAATTTTTCAAAACCAAAGGTTAATGTGATTTTTATGAAATTCAACATTGAATGAAAAATTTTTTAAAAACTTTCAACTTTTTTTCTCAAGCTTTAAACTTTCAAACTTATGCTGAGCAAAGCTCAGCTGACTCGCTAGGTTTATACGTGTAAACTTATGCTGAGCAAAATTCAGTTGACTTATCAAGCTTCATACCTTCATACTTTTGCTTGGCAAATCTTGGTCTATCCATAATACTTTTGATGGTATGGTGTGAATATAATCCACATTGGGTTTCTACCCGATACACTAGTTTTTTTTTTGGTTTATTTAACGTTTTTTTTTCATCACATCTGCTATGTCATATGCGAATCACATGGACATTCAATAATTCTCGTCCAATCATAAATAATATAATAAATTCAGCATTAATATATTTTGTACGAGGAAATTGCCGGATTAAGGTTGATGAATTGAACCTTATATTTTTAATGATAATTTTAAATCATTTTTCAAGAGATTCAGTATGAACCAGAATTTTAAAGTAATTGAAGATTACAGACATAAACTTCTCACAAACGGTGTCATAACAACAAATATGAATATTTGGGTTTCTAGCTATACGATGTCTTATCAATTCTTTTTTTTTGATGATTTTATTGACCTCATTTATTTTTGCATAAAGTTTCATTTGCAGCACAGACGAAAATTAATTGGAAAATTTGTATTGTTTATTATTCTATGAATGAATTTTCTCTCATTATTCACTCAGCTTTAGAGTTTTATCTTTTTTTTTGTCTCTCTGACATTTACGTATCTTTCTCTCAGAAAGTGTCTATGCGCAAGTACTTTTGGAATATTTTCACGGTCAGTAAGAAAGACTGATCCAGAGGTCATTCGAAAAACTTGTTATCTCATATAATATTTTGAAAATATTTACAGTTTAACTTACTTCCAAAAACTATTAAACAGGTCTTTAAAAAAAAGTATCTCACCTATTTTTAGATAATCGTCACAACTTCATAAATTATTTTATTATTTCGTGTATCAACGTAAACTCGTGATGTCTTTAACGTAAATCTCTTCCTCGTATATAAAAATATATATATCAACAAAGGCTAAAGGCTCAAAAACGTTATGACATGCGAACTGTAAATGTTGTGATGTGATGGAAAATATTTTTGTTTCTTCTTATAAAGTCATAATAACAAGTTACTCGAACGAACGTGGAAAACAAACTGAAAAATGAATAACAACGATACCTCCCTAGTAACTTCCAATGCACAAATTAATGACTGTTTTGTTTGTTCAACTTATACACTCATAGAAAAAAAGTAACAAAATGTTTGTAACTTGTATGGAAAATGTTAACAAACAATTCGTTAAAATAGTGTTTACGAACTTATTTGTTAAATTTAACCAAATTATTTGTAAGGTTGAATTGTTAACTATAAAAATTGTTAATTTAACAAACTTTTTGTTAAAATTTTTTTTTACAGAAAAAAATAACAAATTTTCGGTTAATATTAACCAGAAAATTGTTAATTTGGTCACCCATCTTATTTTAAAATGTTTCCGTGGTTGCTTAACTTCTGAATTCCTGTTGATGATCCGCTAGTCCGCTGCTTGTAAACTTTTACTTATAAAATTTGATTCAGAACCAATATAAATAATTCTTTAAAAAATATATCCAAATTTTAAAATTAATTTATGAATAATAAAATAGAAATGTAGGACTTAAAAAAATGAACAAATTTAATTTTTAAATTACGATTTGGTTTGTAAATCATTATTTTCCAAAACAAATTACAAATAAAAACATTGTAACAAATGTTTTGTTAAAATTAACAAATTAATTTGTTAAACAAAATCAACAAAATTCAATTTAAAGCAGTTTTCTCATTAAAAATAACGCAATAAATTAATGGGAATCGTTTGAAATTAATCAAACAAGAGTTTTGAATACAAAAATTAAAATTTAATTAAATCAATTATTAACAAATAAATTTGTTGATTTAACAAACTCAATTGTAAAATTTTTAACAAATAGTTTGGTTGAAATTTTTTTTACCCATGTAAACTTAACCAATAATTTGTTAAACTAGTTTAACAAACATATAACAAATATTATGGTTACTTTTTTTCTATGAGTGTACAAAAAAAGCTAGGAAATGCATTCTTACTGAATGAGTATTTTCATCGATTCAGCACAAGTTTAAGTTTATTATGATTAATAGACTTGTAACTTGAAACAAGTGAATGTGAGAATGCAAATTCTACTCATGTGACTATCTCCCCCCTGCAAATCGTTATCAGTAGTTTTGTGATGATATTTTTGCATTCTCATACGTCAGAGCTGATTATAAAGTTTTGACTGCATTGCTTTATTAGCAGGTCCATTTGTTAATTTTTTGGGATTAATGCCCTGTTTAAATTATCAAATGAATGACATGAGTTATTTATTGTCCATATAATTATATAAAGTCACATATGAAGTCTCTGTGCTTGAATAGTCAAGAAGAAAATTATCATCACCTGATTTTAATAAAATTAAAATGTGTTATTTTTAAAATATAAGCTAATCAGTTGTTAGTTTCAATCTACATAAATTAGAACTGAAAAGAATTCATTAGCACATGTGTTTTCCTTATAGTTTAATGAAAGTAGTTGTCTATTACGTAGACCAAAAATTAAAATATATTCAATGACAAATAATGATTCCCAATTTGTGTATGGCGGCACTATAAAATAAAAAATTTCTATTATCAGTTTAAGTCACAGATCATTTAAACTTTATCGGAAATATCCAAACATTTAGATAGCAACAACGCTTTATTATGCTCATAACGTGTCAAAGTAGAGTGCACTGCAAATGAAAAGTTTGAGAAACGCTGGTCTAGTGATTGCAAACCTGTCTGTATTTTTTTTTTGATAATGCTGTAATATGCTGCAAAATGATGAAATAGAAGCAATTAAATTCTTAAACTTTTATTTAATATTACTTTGCAGTTCTAACAATCAAATTTGTTTTGCATTTTTATGTTGAAGGTATTTTTTCATTAATATTAACTTTATTTTCTTATGATTTTATTTATGTTTCAATGCCTACATTTTTTTGTTGTTGGGAAGTACGTTTCATCGTTTTATCAAACTTATTGCAAGGATTCGATTTCAATTTAATTAAAAATAATGCTTGCTTCAGTTTTCCTTTAGAAATTGGAAGCAAAACTCAAGTATTATAAAATAGAAAAATTGATCATTTTAGGTGTATATTCTCAATATTTTGTTCTTTGTTTGTCAGGCATTATGTAATTGCTTTAGTAGTAATCTAAGCGACTGAGCATGATAGCAGTTCGTTTCCTGTGTAAGGGAATTCAGATATTTGGTGGGTATTTATCGATATTTTGCGTAGTAGTATTTAAGTTCATCAGTGGTGAAACAATATTGTAAAACTTCTAATTTTTATTTTTTTTATTATTAATTATGTATCCGTGATTTTCATTTAATATTAAAGATGATAGAGACCATACATTATATTAATAATGTTAATTATTGTGAATATTTCATTAACCATAATGATAATTTGAGTAGTGTTTTCAGCATTGTTTCAATCTTGACCGATCTTTATCTTATTCATATAAAAAATATCGCATGAAGCCCCTAAATATTCTTTATGAGAATAGATCCAGTAATGAATATTCAATATTAAAATATGATTAAATTTCCTACTTCATTATTTTTTTAAAAAGTTTTTCTTCTAATTTTTTTTTTGATATCTTCTGTTTTAGAAAATTACGACAAAACATACTAATTCCAATTATGTATTTTAGCTCTAATCACAATCAATGTTCCTATTGTTGGATCCACTCCACTTAAAAGAATTCACTCTCAAAACTAGAATGCATAGTAATAAAAACTAATTAAGAATGGCGAAAATTCAATGAGAAGAAAATTATAAATTGCTATATAGATAGATGCTTATGTGTAAAATATATAGCTGCTAGGATTATTTTGTGCAAGCATAGAATACGTAATTCACATGATATTGGAAAAAGTTTACATGAGTGCACAAAATGACTCTTTGACTATAATCTTATTATTGCATCTTGATGTAATTTTTGTATCAATTTTGGCATTTGAACTTGCTGGTGATCCATTAATTTTAACTTGTATATCACTTGCATAATCAGAGTCCGTGGCTTCACTTTTGATCGGCGAATCGCTTATGTCAGATTCATCATCATCATTTTCACAATCATCATAAAGATCGCTGAGTTTTTTAAAATTTTCTATTCGAAATAAACTCTCGAATGACTCGCATTGTTTTTCTTGTAGCCATTTTTGGACAGCTGATGTTATTGGGAAATCATATAATGGATTAATAATTGGACTTTTAATATCAATTCCATCATCCAACATCTTTAAATTTTCCATTAAATCACGTTCCAGTTCTGCAATATTCTTGCGATTTTCAAAAAAGTTTATATCATCAAAAACATCATTAGAATTATTTTCATCTCCTTGCTTCACTTCCTCCTTCTCGATTTCAGCAATCTCATGAGCAATAGATAAATCAATTTCAATACTTGTTCTGCTGGAAATTTCTTCATCACTTATGTCAATAATAGCATCATCAACATCCTTATTTTTACTATTGTCAGACGGTTGAGATGCCTGCACATTAAGTACCTTTAAAACTATTTCATCTTCTTCAATCTCCTTAACTGGCTCCAACTCATTCACAATATTTATATTTTCACATTCATTAACAGTAACAACATTAGATATTTCACATTCAATGTTTGTGTCCGATATATTTTCTATGGAATATTCGGATGCTGAGTCTCCATCCTCTTCGATAATTCCATTTATCGCTTCTTCCTCGCTCTTTTTGTGCTCGTCTGAATTATTTCCAAATTCTGGCTCGATTATTTCAAAGCCATCCTGCTGTTTTGCCATCAAATGACTCTTTTTCTTATTTTTCTTGCCTTTCGCATTCTTTTTTGCTTTAGAATTATTTGAGGCATGTAGCGTAGATTTTGATAGTTGAGGTTGTTGCGTAGTCTTTTTGATGCTAATATTTATTTTTTCAGGAGGTAATACAATTGGTTTAGCATCCTCTTTAATGATTTCTGTATTGTCTTCAACAACATTTCCGACTATAATTGCGTCAGACTCACTTGAGTTTAAGAAGCCATTAGCAGTATCCTTTAAAACTTTGATCTTCTTTCCATTCTTAATAATGTTCCATTCGTCATCAACTTTATTATTATTACTATTATTATTGTTATTAGATGAATTTATTTGGATTTTCGATGCAGATACTAAATTGATATTTTGTTGTTCCATTGATTTGATTCCATCAATAATTTCTTTTTTGGTTACACGTCCATTTGATACTTTGGATGTGTGACTAGTTTTATTTTTTATCGGCATTTCACCTCTTGTTTTTGGTACACTCTGATTTTGGAGATCATTAGTTGATTTTGCTGGCACATCAGATTTTGGAGTTTCCTGCTCCTTTTCTTCATCCTTTGATTGAATGTCACGTGGATAGAATTCTTGAACATTTACGTTCAAATTTGAATGCGGTGTCCTCTCATTAGCCTAAATATATACATAATAATTAGTATACTTATCAGATCAAATAAGCTGCATATTTCAAGGTGCAATAATCCTTTGTTAAGTCACAAGTCTACTCACCATGAATTTGTTACAGCAAGTAATACTTACATTTTTATCTACATTCATTTTATGATATTTCGAGTTGTAATGATACTGATTGTAATTGTAATGATTATTATGATGATACATCCATCCATTATGATGTCTAGGTGTATATCGTCTATTTGAATATGTTGTTGAATTTCCAACATCATCATCTGAGTAATCAGTTGTTGTTTCAGTGGAACGAGACGGATGGGAATTTCGAGCACTTAAAAATCGCTTGCGTCTCTTCAACTTTGTTTGACGATTTTGAGGAGGCATTCCATTATAATAGCACAAGCCATTATAAAAACCATTGCCGTATGTCGGATACACATAACCGAATTCTAATTCAATAAATTATTCATTAATCAAAATCTAATCTTTTAGGATTATTATACTAGCTTACCAGGATAAAAGGGCAAATATTGTTTTGATGACTGTTCATTCACTGAGTTTTCATTTTGTTCCGTTTGCTCTTGCTTTGCATCTTTTTCATCGCTCTATCGAAGAAAAATAAAGAAAAAACTCAATAATTGTATTAATCAAAAACTGAACTCATGTGCTCATGATTAATACACTTAAAAATAAAATAAAATGGCAATAAATAGAGAGTTTAGAGGACCTCTCTACTTATTTTGAGTAGAGAATTTGTTAAAATTATTTTTAGACAATTTACTCGTAACTTTACATCTGTAGTTCTCATCATATAAGGTGGATATTTCTTTCAAGTATGAGAAATTTTTCCCGGTGATAACTTTGACGATAAATAGAAAAAAAAAACTATAAAATATTAAATTTATGTCTAATGATGTCCATAATTTCATTTGATTGAAAGATAGCAGAAAGAAATGAAACGAAAATGTTTTATGCGAACACACGCGACTACAAAATTTTCAGTCATCACATTTGGAATTGAAATATTTATGCGAATCAAGAGTTTTAAATTAAAAAGATAATATTATGGTCAATGTGTAAATGCGACATTTCCCACAGTACATTAGATATTAAAGAAAACAAAAGAACATCGCATAATATGTACATAACGTGAATGAAATTGTGTAGAAATAAAAGAAGAAAAAAAAAAAATAAAAGGAAGGTCAAAAACAATTGCATGTTAAAAATATTCATCACACACATGTGCATACTTTAAAGAAGAAAAAAAATGCATCATTTTTTGAATGTACAAATGAAATATCTCGTACTTTTGAGAGAATACTTTACATAATGGAAATTTGCATTGTATCTTCGTGGGGACTATAAATTAGTCAATTTTAGAAAATATTTTTAAAATAATGTCACATAACAACATGCTATATTTAAAAATACCTCTGCTTCCTCACGTTGACTGCTGTTGCTTGTTGCATCTTCGCTTGACATTCTAGCACCCTGAAATAGAGTAAAAGAAGAAAATCTTCATATATACTTCTCGAATAAATCGTGACTTTCTTTTTTTGTTGGTGTTTCATTGATGATAAAAAGAAGCATTTTTAGTGTAAAACAGTATTTAGCTCTACGATGATAATCACAACATAAATAGAAGAAACTCATTTTATCTTCACGAACTCATATTCTGTTATCTTTTTTTTTTTTCTTCAAAAAAACGATCCAGTTGGTTTCACGCAATGATGAAATAATTTAGACATGTTAACTAGATATGCAAACATTGAGAACGGAAACACAAAAACCATCCTTTACAAAGAAATATTGTTGACTGATCTCCTATATGGTTTCAATACCACTCTTTACGACCTTTTAAACCCCTAGTAAAATGAATTTTTCTCTGAGCCCAATAATAGTTTGTGAACAAGTGACACACCGGCGTGATGCATAAATAATTCCAACTGACTTGTGAGCATCAAGTCACTTTTATAATAAAGAAAAAAAAAACGACAAATATTATGTAATTTCTGCTTAAAATTGTTTTTAAGTACTAATAGAGCGCTTTAAAAAATCATTTCATTTCATGCATGTAAAAAAGATAATTGAATGTGCATGGTAATTTAATTTTGATATCAAAATCTTCCAATTAAATTCATGCAAAACGATGACTATATATTGACCAGAATTCTAATGAAATTGCATCCAGTTTGAAATTAAACTAAAGACTAAAGAGAATATATTTTCAAAATGCCAAAGTTTGCATTTTATTGTGTTATTTTGACAATATGTCTGCTTCATCTCTCACATTTTGTCCATTGTGAGGAAAACAATTACGACATTAAGTATGACAATATTAATATTGACGAAATATTGAGGAGTGAACGATTGTTAACAAATTATATCAATTGTTTGATGGAAGAAGGTCCGTGCACTGAAAATGGTCGTGACTTAAAGGAAACTTTACCTGATGCAACTGCAACTAATTGTTCAAAATGTTCTGAGAAGCAAAAGGCTGACAGTGATAAAATTATGCATTTCATGTGAGTAAAAGCTTAACACCTAAATTTTGAACTAAGAAGTGTATATTTTGATTTTTTAAAGCATTGACAATCGTCCCGAGGACTGGGATAAATTGGAAGCAAAATACGATCAAAGCGGCACGTACAAACTGGAATACTTGAATTCCAAGAAAGAAAACGACTCTAATGCCTGATTTATATATTTGACATTTTCAGTGCGAATATTATTGCCGAAATACTTATATTCACTTTATAACTGCATATCATTTTATCTTGTAGCACCATCAGAATAAGATAATGAAATAAAAAAACTTACATTTTCTTCTTCAGCAGTTGAGCTGTTTGCTTTCACACCTTCATTTTCAGACTTCTCATTAGATTCAACTGATTCAACACTATCGTCTTGAGCTTCTTCCGAATTGTCCTTTTCTGACGATAATGGAACTTCTGTGTTTGGAGCCATAAAGAATGGATCATATTGGTACGGATAAGGCATCAAATAAACAGGAGAAGTTGCTGATGATGTATTCGGATAGTAATTATATCCATTATACATTGCTGCTTTATTATTAAGAATATGAAATGTTAGGAATTAAATTGACACGTGTAAGAGTTTAATACTTACGAATAACCATTATACCATTTTCATCATAATAGTAGCCGGGGTAGTAAAGTGGAGCAGTAAAATCCATTCCATCTATTTGTCCATAATCCATTGAGGGAGTAGTTGCTGGCGATAATGTACTTACACTTGATTCTTGGTCACTATTCGTCGTTGTGATAGAACTGTTTGGTGCAGTAGATTCTGTTGTTGTTGATACAACAGCTGGTTGTGATACAGTCTTATTATTCATCCGTGACAGGTAACCTTTTTTGAACAAAACGTCCTGACGAGGAGTTGTTATGCGCGTGTACTCATCTGTAGAATGCAATTACATTTACTTAGGTTTTTTAATACTTTTTTTTTTATGCTTACCCTCATTAAATTTTATAGATTCGGTTGTAATTGCTGGAACATCTTTACATTCAGATGATCCATTTTCTTCAGGTTTCTTGTTGTCTTTTAAAGTTGCTGAGGCAGTTGTTGGAAATTTATGAGTACGATGCGAACCGAATGGAACTTTTGATAAAGCTAATTTAGCAGCACTTCGTTGATTGTAATAATTTTCTTTATTGTTATAGCTGTTTCGCGTTTTAGAATTATGAATGGTACTTCTATTTATTGGAGATGTATAATTTATATGATGATCACCAAGTATTTGTGAATATTTATGTGGAGTTTCTGACGAATTATGCTGAGTGTCAATATCATTCAATTTACTATCCGAAATGAGGGTTTCATCTTTATCAACAAAAAAAAAATACATATATATACATGTATTGATGGTTAAAATTAAACAGAACGAAGAATGAAAGAAATAAAAATTATTGCTGGATAAAAATCAATAAAATAAATTTCACTATGGAAATTGCTTCCTCTGACATTTGAAAATAACAAAATTTTAGACATTGCCTCGTTCATTTATTTCGTTATGCCAAAAAAAAACACTTCTTATAAGACCCTTCACCTCTCGTTACACATTTTATATGAATTTTTATATTCACACCGTTTTCACGTGTGAATCTATTGGTTTTGTTCAGATTGAAAAATCAGTTTTTCGCATTTTGTGAGAAAACAAAGCAAAATTGGTTATAAAAGGGCAAGAAGAAAAGTTTGTGCCTGAAATTTTACATCATTTTCAAAAAACAGATTTCAAATTGGTTGTGGCATTGCTGAGAAAATCGCAAAATACGCTTTCTGTAAGCAAACAAGCAAGCAAGCAAGTTAATCAGCAAGAAATCTCAATAACGAGACATCGTAGAGACTTCTAGTTTTTTACATTTGATCCGTGCTGCTCTATAGAAGAGCTGTATTGTTTTTGGGTAAGGTAGGAACAGCCGTTGCTTCAGAAATGGCAAAAAACTTTCCTTTCTTACGAATTTTTTAAAACAAAAGTTGACTGTGATTTTTATAAAATTCAACTTTGGATGAAAATTTTTTTTAAAAAACTTTTAAAGAATATTTGGCATATTCCTCAAGCTTTATACCTTCAAACTTATGCTGAGCGTAGCTCAGCTGACTCGATAGCTTTATATCTTCAAACTTATGCTGAGCGTGGCTCAGCTGACTCGATAGCTTTGTATCTTCAAACTTATGCTGAGCGTAGCTCAGCTTACGCGATAGCTTTATAACTTCAACTTATGCTGAGCGAAGCTCCACTGCCTCTCTAGCTTCATATCTTCAAACTAATGCTGAGCGTAGCTCAGCTGACACTCTAGCTTTATATCTTCAAACTTATGCTGAGCGTAGCTCAGCTTACGCGATAGCTTTATAACTTCAACTTATGCTGAGCGTAGCTCAGCTGACACTCTAGCTTTATATCTTCAAACTTATGCTGAGCGTAGCTCAGCTTACGCGATAGCTTTATAACTTCAAACTTATGCTGAGCGTAGCTCAGCTGACACTCTAGCTTTATATCTTCAAACTTATGCTGAGCGTAGCTCAGCTTACGCAATAGCTTTATAAATTCAAACTTATGCTGAGCGAAGCTTAGTTGACTTATCAAGCTTCATATCTTCAAACTTATGCTGAGCGTAGCTCAGCTTACGCGATAGCTTTATAACTTCAAACTTATGCTGAGCGTAGCTCAGCTGACACTCTAGCTTTATATCTTCAAACTTATGCTGAGCGTAGCTCAGCTTACGCGATAGCTTTATAACTTCAAACTTATGCTGAGCGTAGCTCAGCTGACACTCTAGCTTTATATCTTCAAACTTATGCTGAGCGTAGCTCAGCTTACGCGATAGCTTTATAACTTCAAACTTATGCTGAGCGTAGCTCAGCTGACACTCTAGCTTTATATCTTCAAACTTATGCTGAGCGTAGCACAGCTTACGCGATAGCTTTATAACTTCAAACTTATGCTGAGCGAAGCTTAGTTGACTTATCAAGCTTCATATCTTCAAACTTATGCTGAGCGTAGCTCAGCTTACGCGATAGCTTTATAACTTCAAACTTATGCTGAGCGTAGCTCAGCTGACACTCTAGCTTTATATCTTCAAACTTATGCTGAGCGTAGCTCAGCTTACGCGATAGCTTTATAACTTCAAACTTATGCTGAGCGAAGCTTAGTTGACTTATCAAGCTTCATACCTCCATACTACTGATGGGCAAATCTTGGTCTATCCATAAGACTTATGATAGTACGGTGTGAATATAATCCGCATTGGGTTTCTACCCGATACACTAGTTTTTCCTGCGTATGAGCTGTTACAAAATCTTAGACCCAAGCTCCCCTAAAAAGCGAACGGGCCAAGTGAAAGGTGCACAAATATTTCAGCATGCTTTACACACAAAGAAAACATTTTAAACAAAATGATAGCTCCTCATTTTCAAAATTAGAAATAGATTACAAAATAATGCGATTACATAATCGAAAGAAAAGTATGTACTTATTTCACCGGATTTTTTTTATCATATCAATTTATTTTTCATACAGAAATTAATCACCGAAAAAAATGACAAATTAACATTTAATTTAATTTCGATGAAGATTATAGCACATCACAGCTTACGAGATAAGCAGTGTGTATGTAAAAATATTTCTTCTCTTCTTCTCAAATATTTCACAATCAAGACAATTTATTGCAGTAAGAATTTTTATACAGCTATTAACATTGTATCTTTTTGTTTTGGGTGTTCTGGTCTAATAAGTAAACTTGTATTCCTTTTAACGTAGATTACTTCAGAAACTGATTATGTCTGGAGAAATTCCTAGACTAAAGGTTAATGAACTCTTACAATTTTCCGGCACCAATGTTGGAATTTTCCCTTACTTTTCACTGACATATATTTGAGGTGACTAATAAACATTAAGCGGCGTTTTGTTTTTGTTACTAATTTAAATATTCACATGATTTTGTTTTTATATATATATCTATCTATATATACATATATTCGCGAAAAAGTTTTTACGTAATTCTTTAGCCTTCGCCACCTACTACAAATCATTTACCTAGTTCTTTTCTCACTTTTCTTATGATGTCACTGTATGTTAAGATTGTTTTGAACAGATATATAATAAATGACTATTTTTTTACTTTTATTACAATGCAATTATTGAAAGGAACAACATCCTAAGGCTTGGTATTCAATTTTGTCTAACAATAGTCGCGAAATTGTTTTAATTTCTAAAGCAAAATATTTTCAAGACATGTGACCCATCTCTTTGGAAGTTAATGCGTAAATTCATAAAACAAGTACAGAAGAAATTTTTTTCAACCTTGCCGGCTCAATTTTAATACATAAATTTTCTATTTAAGCATTAACTTTAAGCAATGTTCCTTTCAAAATGTGTAAGTTTTGATTTTGTATCACTTTTAGGTTGATTTTTAAATTCAAATCATTTAATTTTATATTCCTTACCTTTAGAGCCATCAAATGAAAATGTTCGCCATCGAGTTTTCTTGTTTTTCCCCATAATAATGGAAAGCGAGACTGTTTTTTTGTTGGAACTTCCAAAATGTGTATAAACTGTGCACAACTCAAATACTCATGAAACTTTTCTTTGTGTGAGTTGTATATTACGTAAATTTCTATTAAGCACGTGTTTCTCTCAAACAAGCGATGTCAGTTAATGATTTTATTTTTTGTCGTTTGATATTCTATCCTCTTTCCAATTCCTTCTCTTTAATAATTTTGGCAATGTAAAGACGAATAAAATTGCATTGACTTGTTTCCACCAATCATAAATATTATGATTTAAATATTGAACTATGTACTGCTTAAACTTCTCGTTTCGGGAAAAAAAAGTATCGTGTTATGTAAGCAATTTTCGGTCATTTATTTTTCATTCATAAACTTTCTTCTCGATTTGCTGCAAGTTATTGCACTTTTGATATTAAATCGTTTTCTTTAATATCGATTATTTTCTCATTCAACCAACTTTCCTTCTCGATTATTTGCTGTTCTTTTGTATTAAAAAAGCTTGATACAAATTTTCACGAGGATTATATACAAAATTTTAAAAATATTTTTTATAAAAAAAATTCGACTTTGGAGGCACTAATTAAATATAAGATTATTCACAAAAAAGAACTGAATGAAATGAAAGGAACAAAAAAACTTTAAATTGAGAAATTTCTTTGGAAAAAAATTCCGTTCTTTAAAGGCAATGAGTTGTGCTATCTCTTCGTTTGTCGACTAAAGACTGACTGAATGAACACAGAAGTTTACAATTCACACAAGAGAATCAAAAGAAAAAAAATGTGTATCAGTTTCATTTTCTACTCATTTCATGAGTTTATTCTTTTCCGTTTCATTATTGATTTTCTTGATGCATATTTATTTATTATCCCTTAATTCTAAACAAGCTATAAAAATTTTATGCCGGTAAGGCAAGAATGTTGAATGTCTTTTATTTTATTTTTTAAACATTTATTACGTAATTTTTTGTATTTTTACGAAATTAATGATGGAATAAACGATAAGGTGTATGAATTAAAACAATTCCGTGTTCATCACATGCATCAATAACAGCCTGATCATTTGTAGATCCAGCGGGTGATCCAATGAACTTTACACCACTCTGAAAAAAAAAGAACAAGGCAATGATCAGCATTAATAAATTTGATTACATTATCATAATTCAGTACTTCGTTATAAAAGAGAAAGTTTACGTACCAAATTTGCGCGATCGATATTGTCTCTAAATGGGAAAAAGGCATCAGAAGCTAACGAAACATTTTCTAATTTCTTAATCCAATCAAGTCTTTCATCATCAGTCATTAATTTTGGAATGTTTTCCTTCTCAAACATTGATTCGAATTGTTTTATTGGCATATCTTGACCGATAGTTCCGTTGACAAAATTGTCAATTACATTAGAAATTTCTGCACGTTTAACTCCTTGCTTAAACTTCATTGATAAAACTTTTGGATGATGACGGAGCCACCAAATGTTTGCTTTTTCGCCGGCTATGCGTAAAAATATAGAATGAAATTAGGGAATAAATTTAATAATTAATTTACCTAAACGAGTACAATGAATTCTACTTTGTTGACCAGCGCCAATTCCAATTATCTGCCCGTTTTTAGCATAGCATACAGAATTACTCTGTGTATATTTCAAAGCTATTTGTGCAACAATTAAATCTCTTAATGCATCAGATGGCAGTTTTTTATTTTTGGAAACAATTTGAGTAAATACTTTCTCATCTATTAAGGCATCATTTCGTTTTTGCTCCAATTGTAGGCCAAATAATGTTCTTCTTTCAATTTCATTTGGCACGAAATTTGGATCCATTTGAAGAATACAATAATTTCCTCCTTTTTTCTTCTTTAAAATTTCAAAAGCTTCAGGTTCATAGGAAGGCGCAATTATCCCGTCCGAAACCTCACGTGATATGATTTTAGCTGTAATTACATCACATTTATCGGATAGAGCCACAAAATCTCCAAAAGATGACATTCGATCAGCACCTCGTGCACGAGAATAAGCAATTGCAATTGGTGACAACATATCATACAGATCATCGACCATGCATACTGACGCTTCTTGTTTACTTAGAGGAATTCCGACACTTGAACCGGAAGGTGAGACATGTTTAAAAGAGGCAGCAGCTGGTAAATTTAAAGAAGCTTTTAGTTCTCTGACCAATTGCCAAGCATTCAATGCATCACACAAATTAATAAATCCTGGTGCGCTATTCAACACTTTCAATGGCAATTTCTCGAGTGTAGTAAAAATCTGAGCAGGTTTTTGATGTGGATTCATGCCATATCTTAAGTTGATTTGAGAAGTGCCCGATGAAAAATTCTTTCGAAAATAGTCGGATATGATTGAGTCGTAATCCGCAGTATGTGTAAATGCTTTCAATGCTAACAATTGTCTTGTTGAGTTTTGTGTATCGCCAAATTGATTCAATTCATCTAAAACTTTATCGTAGTCATTTGGATCACAAATTACAGTGACTCTTTCATGATTTTTTGCTGCTGCACGTAAAAGTGTGACTCCTCCAATATCTATATTTTCAATAGCATCAGATAAAGTGGAAGTTTCCTTTGCGATCGTTGCGGAAAATGGGTATAAATTACAAACAACGAATTGAACAAATTTATAGTTCATTCGATTCATGTCTGCAACATCAGATTCTATGGTCCTTGATAAGATTCCTGCATGAACAGCTGGATGTAAAGTTTTTACTCTCCCAGAAAGCATCTCTGGTAATCCAGTGATGTCTGAAACATCTATACATGCCAAACCAGCATCCTTGATTAATTTTGACGTCCCTGCATGCATATTTAAAGTTAAAAATTGTCTTTTACCTCATGACATATTGGCAATTTACCTCCACTTGCTGTTATTTTTAATCCCTTCTCGATCAATGCTCGGACTAGTTCAATCAACCCAGTCTTATCACTTACGCTAATTAAAGCCAATCTCTCAGATGCCATTATTATCAACAATATTGCCTGTTTAATGAAATAAGGAAAAATACATAAAACATCCGAGTTCAAGGTTTATCATAATGTTTATGCGATCAAATTAATTAAATGTGCATAATAATTTCGAAAATAAACATGTACAGTGATCAACAAACCCAAAAAAATACTTACGGGTGCGGAACTCAAAAAATAGCAACTTATTGAATGAAGTAATATCTTTAACCGAAAGCACTTCTCACTATGAGATTCTTTATGCTAATGATGCAATGTATCAATCTGTTATTAAATAAATAGAGATTTTAAATGCAATTTATTGAGCACGTTTCACATTAAATTCACCACAATCAAATAATTGAAATTTAAAAAACCGTTTAAATAATTTTTTTTCTCGACAAATTCACCAATGATTCGAATTTTTATTCACCTTAATAATAATTTTATTAATTTCTGTATTAAATACTAGGTTCAAATTCATTTACCTTTCTCTTGTTTTAATTGATTTTTTTACATTGAATAGAAGAATAAATATAAGTAAAGCTATATTACTCAGTTCAGTTGATTCTCTTTTCACACATTTGGCATGGATAAAACATCAAGAGAGCAAGGAGGTATCGGATGCATAAAAATTCTTATTTTGAGTGATTTGAATCATAAGATATCACAAGATTATGGAGTGTATCTAAAGGATCTTAAGACACACTCTTGCGAGAACTTTTTATTGTTGATGAAGATGTATTACGATGATTATACTGTTGTATCTTGTTTTAGTCGTCGCTATTTTAAAGCAGTAAACATTCCAATATACTGATACTCATAGAGAAGTTTGTCCTGAAAATTGGAAGCAAGGATCACGTACAATCATTCCTGATACTGAAAACAAAAATATTAAATATATCAAACATTTAGATTGAGAATTTAAAAGGTAGTTGTTTGTTCCTTTGCACTTGAATCTCAAATCAGTATACTATTAATATGATATTACTTATTCGATAAATGTGAATAAAAGAGAAAATCAATAAGTCTATTAATTAATTTATTTCTAAAGTACTTTACGTATAATTTATTGTTTTGAACGAGGTGTTGCTGGAGATGACAAAACTCCTAAAAGCTGACCATCTGCTTCCATTAATGTTAAATCTTTTGCCGATCCTAAAAATCTTGATGATATTTCTAAATCTTTGATTCGAAGCTTTACTCTCGCACCTCTCACGTAAGCTGATGAATTTTTAATAGGTCTTGTGCATACACAATGAAATTTCCAACCAAAATCAATGTAAAGATCGTCATCAACAATATGAAAAATCTTGCCTACAACAACTTTATTCACTGGATCTCCAAGCTAGAATGTATTAAAATCATTAATTAAAATCCTTTACTAAATTATAAAAATGTTCTCACTTCAACAAATTTGGAGTTTTTAAAAAGGGTTGCAAATGGAAGATCTGGTTCCTTCAATTTTTCAATCTGATCAGGCATACTAAATTTCTCGAATGCTTTTGCAAATCCACCTTTTTCTTGGCTACTTTTTACTATCACTTCTTCATTATTCTCAATATTTTGAGTATAATTTCTTATGACAATAGCTGTAGAATTATATAGACTCCTAATTAAGTTTGTATTTTGAAGAGGTCTATTAATTAAGCTTAGCATTTTTGGCGATTTAATGAAATTTATATTTGAATAGTTTCACCAGTTTCACGATGTTTTTAACATATAATTCTGAATTTTTACACGCTATCCAAGCTCTGTCTGTGTGTCTTCAAAAAAACAAAAAATTTCAATCAAACACCTATTCTTTCAGACATACATGTATATCAAGCAGATATGAAGTTGTGCCTTAATTATGATAACGTCGCCATTTTAAAATCGGTTAAGCATGGAATTTAAACTTTTCAAATATTTTTTGTTTCTTAATTTTTAAATAGTTTCTAGCCGTTACTAATCATCAATGGTAATTATCCTCGAAGGTTTATGATTTTTAATTGATTTAAACCTTAACAGGATGCAATATATAGAGAAAATGCGCTTTCATCAGTCATTAGTAATGATGTAATATGAATGTTTACTTCTGAATTTGCTCCAGAGTTGTGAAAATAAACAAGCACGTATGCAAAACATATTGTAATTAATGTAAATTTTATAACATAAAAATTAGTATTAGAATACAGAATATATAGGAAGTACGACAAAAAAAATTCTGATAGCAAATTTTACGTTTCAAAATTGTTCAAATTTAAAATTTCTCAATCACGTGGTTCATCGTGCGATATCACATGTGTATATGATTAAATAGATTATATTTTAATGGGTACCGGTAAATTCCTTTGGAAAGACTTCTAAAATTTAGATAATTCACTTTCAAGCATAAAATTAACTTCTTGCGGATATAAAAAACTGTTACTATTAATCGACACTTACTCCATCTATTACTGAATTGATGATAATGTTAAAGTTTCATTTGTCCTTAAAAAAGCTTAAAGGAGATTTTTCCTTTAAATTAGTGAATTTATATTTTATAGTGTAAATCTAGTCAATTATTTATTAATATAACATTTTAACGTCATCATGAGTATCTTTAAAATTGCCAGTTTTGCAAGAAACATTAAATTACATTCACAAAGGATTATTACATCATTTTTCCACTCTTCTTCATTAAATTCTGAAAGTCAAAGGCACGATAATCCAAATTTTATATTAAAAAATCCATCCAGATACTTTTCTGATGATTCATCACTCATCTCTAAACTGAAAAGTTATTCAGAACGTGTTAAGTTTTATGATAGATCAGGTCCAGATGAAAGGTAATAAAATATTTTTTTTATTCATCTGCGAATAATTTGGTAACTTTTTGTGTACACTAAAATCCAAGCACACATAAAAACCTTTAGAAATGTGACTTGCATTAGTTTTTGAGGACGAGACACGATCAATTAGTAATATGAAAACAAACTGTTTCGACTCGAGAATGAAACAACAACCTGTTCACTTGTTGATGTCTTTATACTTTTCAATTTATGAACTCGAATAGACTAATCTTTTCTAATTATCATTTTTCACATGCATCTATGCTCTCTGCACATTATTTTCATAAAAAAATCTCGATCTTTTTGCTGTTAATTTTATTCTAAAAATAAGACGATCTCATATGATCAAAATTTACATTATTAATTCTCGCCTGCCTGGCTTTTAAAGAAATGCGCAAGCAAACATTTTATGTCAACAAGGGATTTTTCTATAAAAGCCTCAAGAAATGCCTTTATGCCTTCATATCAAAATAGTGTAACAAATAAGAAGGTTGATAATTCTATAATATAGTATATTAATTTAAAAGAACCAAAAATGTCAAAAGCAAAAGATATTACAAGTGACATTCAAAAAGATCATTTGATTAAACTTCTATCGAGATTCATGAGGTATAATTAAACTTTTCCAATCCATGTGCTTTATATAACAACGAAAAATTCACATATCCAAAATTTAACATAACACTTACATTACACCTTATTCCACTTCCCAAACTTAATAAATTGTTTTAAAAAGGATTTCTTGTGAGTAAGTTGAATCTGAAAAGTATATATTATTTAAGAAATGATTTAATCCTATTACTCATTTTTGTTATTCAATTGCATTTAGCCAACGGGAGAATGATCAAAAAAATGTTGAAGACACGTTGTTTGATATGTTTAAAACTGAATCGACGGGACTTTTGTCGATGGGTCGTTTTTTAGCAGCATTGCGAACAACGGGCATTCGTCGAACTGATCCGAGAATTGTTGAAATGATGGATAACTTGAAGAAAGTTTTTAAAACTAATAATTACGAAGGTGGGAGCCCAGAGACATTGAATTTGAATCGGGAAACGTTTAAAGCGTAAGTCATTACAACTGACACACATAATTTTTTTTTTAAAAATAAATTTCCTCCACAGAGTTATTGAACCAAATATTGTGTTAATTGCGAGAGCTTTTCGTCATCAATTTGTTATACCGGATTTTTTGGGCTTTACGAAGGATATCGAAGAAATTTATTGGAGGTGTAAAACGAATACCGATGGAAAAGTTGCATCATATATTCCTCAATTGGCAAGAGTATCGCCTGATTATTGGGGTGTTTCAGTCACCACAATCGATGGACAGCGTTTTGCTATAGGAGATGTTCACGTACCATTTACACTTCAAAGTTGCAGTAAGCCTTTGACGTATGCTGTTGCATTAGAATGCTTGTCTCAAGAAATTGTTCACAAATATGTTGGGCAGGAGCCATCAGGAAGGAATTTTAATGAACTAGTTTTAGATCATAACAAGCAACCACATAATCCATTGATAAATGCTGGTGCTATTCTTGTCTGTTCATTGATGCAAACACTAGTTCATCCCGAAATGACTTTAGCTGAAAAGTTTGATTTTACACAAAATTGGTTTGAACGCATGGCAGGAATGGAAAACTTTGGATTTAATAACTCAGTCTTTCTATCAGAGCGTGAAGCTGCTGATCGAAACTATGCCTTAGGATTTTACATGCGTGAATATAACGTCTTTCCAGAAAAGACAAATTTACGCGAATGTCTAGACTTTTATTTTCAAGTAAGTTCCACACGTTGTTTGATAAAACCATTGACGTAAAATGCTTAAATCAATATTGTTATGATTGTGACTATCACGCTTGTTTACTTTATATTTAGATATGTTCGATGGAAACAACAGCCGATTCTATGTCAGTTGTTGCTTCCACTTTAGCAAATGGGGGTATTTGTCCGATAACTGAAGAAAAGGTACATTCACAACATTTTTTTGGAGTTAAAATATTTACACCGTTATTTGATATAATTTCATCCATATTATACAGGTATTTAGACCTGATGTTGTACGCGATGTTCTCTCTTTAATGCATTCTTGTGGAATGTATGACTATTCGGGACAGTTTGCGTTTCAAGTAGGCCTTCCTGCAAAATCTGGAGTTTGTGGCGGTATTATGCTAATAATTCCTAATGTTGCTGGTATTTTTGCTTGGTCACCTCCTCTTGACATTTGCGGCAATTCTGTTAGAGGTGTTCAATTTTGCAAGGAACTTTTGAATGTATTTAATTTCCATCGTTATGATAATTTGAAGCATGCAACAAATAAGAAAGATCCGAGAAGACATCGGTACGAGACAAAAGGACTTTCAATTGTAAACTTGCTCTTCTCTGCTGCTTCTGGAGATGTTACAGCATTGAGACGACATAAATTGTCTGGAATGGACATCAGTCTGAGGTATTTATTGTAGATTATTTTAATTCTTTTTTTTATTCACATGATTTTTTTTTTTGTCTTTAAATTCGAACAGTGATTATGACGGAAGAACATCTTTACATTTAGCCGCAGCAGAAGGGCATCTTGATTGCGTTAAATTTTTATTGGAGCATTGTCAGGTCCCACACAATCCAAAAGGTATTAGGGAAATATTTTATAAACTTAATTAATGTCATTAATTTATTGTAACTCTTTTAATAGATCGATGGGGAAATACTCCTCTAGACGAAGCGGAAACGTTTAATCATGAAAAAGTAGAAACATATTTGAGAGAGTACGAAGCAGGAACTATAAAATGTAATGATAAGGATAAATCAGAAATTAATTCACAGCCCATATTTTCGCTTAATATGGTAACAAATAATTTCAAATGTTAAAACAAAAAAATAATTGTTTATTTGATCATTTCAGCATGAAGTTTTAAACAAGTCAGAATCAAAAGACAGCTTGTATGATAAAAGTGAATCATCTTCACCAATTCCTCCCTCAAGTGATGGAGATAAGCTTCTTTAAATAATGTCTACTATTTTTGATCTTCTGCTAATATATTTCAACTGATGACAATTGAGAATTTATTCATAACATTTGACAATAACTTATTATTATATAGGCAGTGCTTAATCATTACTTAAAATTTAATGACAATAATTCGATGTTAAACAATGAGTTAAAATAAAATAAATTATGTTGGGAAATTAGAAAAACCGTTTTATTTTTTAAAAAAAATTTATTAGGACATAAAGAAGAAGTATAAACTTTAAAGTAAGACTCCAAATTGTCATTAATTTTCGTTTTGACATATAAAGATGAAAATATTTGACAAAAGCTGTAAGTAATCTTCTTCAACAAATTTAATGAATGATAGTCCAGTAAAGGACGGATCTTCATTATTTACAACATAAGGCTCTTCGTCATACTCTTGAACTGAAATTTTGTTAACTTGTGTTGAGTTTAAGTCAAATCCTACTCGTTTTACATGAGTACTTGTTGTAGGATTGCTAGTGCTTCGAATTGGAGTTAAATCAGTTGGATTTTGTTCTTTTGTTTGTGTTCCATGATGGAGAGATATAGGAGATATAGTGTGTGGAATTTCGAAAGGCACTGTTTTTTGCTGCAAATGTAGTTTTCTCACTACATTTACTCTCAAATCGTGACTTCTGCGTTGAGAAGGAATCACTCTTGATGGTCCAGCACCTTGATCATCACTGTCATCGTTATGAATATTACTATTTATTATATGAAAAATTCCTATCTTTTGTCTGAAGAGTGGCGATTTAGTCGTATCCTTTAAAATTTTCTTTTTGACAAAATCATGAAAACAGTACAATTCTGTTGACAGTTCACGGCGAATCATTTGTTTCTCGCGACTTGACAGTTGTCTAGCTTTTAATGCAAGCAAACTTTGTGACGCTAGCAATGTTAATAGTAGCTCCAATGCATTTAAGCACATCTTTGTGTCAATATGTAATAACAGCTCATTTGAAGGCTGAATAACAGTACTTGTCATTGAGCTGATGGATAATGATTTTGAAAAAGGCCGACGAGATTTCGATGGTGATGATGATGGGAGTCCTAATTGTTGAGTTGTATCACCAATAGAAATCATTGAAACTGTTTCATTTCCATACTCATTTTCATATTCTCCAAATTCTGGAATCTTATTTAAGGGAGTTTGTTTAAAGTTGAAATGTTGAAGATTTAATGTTTTAATCAATAAAGCTATGATACTGAGTATAGATCCATAAGAAAGTAATTGTGGTGTTCCACTTATTTTTGGTGCTCCAAACTGAACCTCTATGAATGGAATCCATTTTGCTTGATGGAACTCTACGTCACATAATAGATTGATTAGTTTTGGACTAAAGTGAAGCAAACACTGACAACACAGAGATATTACTTCAATTATTCCATTTGTTGCACCAATGAAATCATCACTTGGATCACTAAGAACTGCATCAGAGTACTCTTTAATGTGAGTTTTCGATGATTCTGTTAGTCGTTTTAAAAGTTTTGGACGATATAATAACGAAACTGCATGATCCAAAAGACATTGAACATATCGCTGTAAAAAAAGTAATTTAGGTAAATTAATTAAAATGATTTAAAATATAATATATATACTTACAATTAAGTTTTCAATGGTCATTTGATAGTCAGAACTCCAAAACTGTTCATATTTGATGATTTCAGACAGCAATTCAAGTGTTGATTTTATAAGCATCATCGCGTTTTGTTCAAGAGAATATTTAGCAAGTGCAATTGCTTCTGAGAGATACTGTTCATGAATTCCAACAAAGAAAAGAGCTTCCTTAATGAAAAGATGTTTTTCTTTCTCCAATAAAATTTTGACAAGCTGGATTCCTTTTGTATAAATTAGCCACCATTCTTGTGATGTCCAATCAGATGATTTGTTGTTACTCCTCTCTAATAAGCATTTTGGTGTCAATAAATTCATCCATAAATAGTCTCCAATTTCACAATACATAATGTTCTTACTATATGATCCTTTAGCCATTAATAGAAGTAGATCAAATAGTTCTGCAGTAACTTTACTTTGACTGGGAATTTGCGTTATTAAGCTGATGATGTTTAAAATTCTATTGAAAATTTTGTAATAGTTGAACCAATAATTACAGTTTCCATAAAATTCCTCTCCAATTAAAAGAATTTTCTTTAAAAGATTTATTGACAAAATTGCTGATGTTGATCCTTGATTCTTAACACTTTCCACTTCCTTTAAATGATTTTCGATAGAGAAAAACTCATTGCTTAAAATTTCTAAACTAAACATGACTAAATTATTGGCAATTTCTGGATGATTTTTAATTTCATCAGATTCCAAATCTAAGATTTTAATTGCTATTGCTAAAATAGCATCTTTTGAACGTTTATGTAAGCTTCCATAGCAGTTGCTTGTTGCTTTTAACAGCAATTGGAACTGATTTAATAAAATCGAATCTTCCTCATTAGTTTTTGTATATTTTAAGTCTTGATTTTGGAGGACCAACATGAAAAGTTCTGCAAGTACAATAAAAGGTCTAGAATCATTTCCGTTTTCCATATCATGACACACGTGCAACAATGTTTTCAAAGAATTATCCAAAAGCATTTTTTTGCATTCAGTTGGCATCATTAAAATGGATTTTTTCTTGAAAAGCAACACAAGAAAGTCTTTAAAAGATTGCAATCTCGATAACCACTCAGGTGTCTCTTCTTCGCCATTAAATGAATTATTTGAATATGGCAACTCGAAAACAACAGAAAGCCATTTCTTGAATATATCTGGTGATAAGAATTTCTCAACGACTTTTCTAAAATTTTCATTATCAACATTAATTTCTCTCAGCTTGAATAATTCAATTCCAATTATATTGATCAATTGTGAATATTGATAGTTTTCAATTGGTGTCGTCAATATTGGACTGCAAAGTGATGACCAAAATGTATTTTTCTTAAGTAAACTACTAACGAGTGACTGTAATCCTTGTTTCCAAAGCCCATGGAACAAATTCATTATACGCTTCAATTGGTCATTTGTTATTTTTGATGGATCTTTAGAAACTGCTTCTAAGAATTCTTCCATGTACGAAATAATACCGTCACATGTACTTTCATCTTCACTTGATCGTTTTATAAAGAAGCTACTTTTCATATCTTTTTCATAAGATACTTTAAAGAAGGCTTCAGTTAAACCAGGCTGTTTATCGATACAAGCATTGACAAAATCCAAAATTGATACTTTTAAATCTTCACTCTCCAAGTCATCACGCAGTCGTTGCAAAAACATCATTCGAATTTGATCTGGCTCTAAATCAAGACATGCTGATAATGAACTTTGAAATTCGATAGCAAATCTTCTCAACAATCGACAGGAAAGAACAGGAAATCGTCTATTAAATGAATATGTTGTATAGTTGGCCACAATTGGAATTATTTTAAGCGTATCCCGTTGTTTTGGTTGAGTATAAATCATTTGTTCTAATGGAGTCAAAATGTCATTATTTTTAGTGATTGTTTCCTTCAGCCGTAATGTCTGCATTAAAATACGTATTGCATTCAAAACCAACTTATTTAAATCAGATTCTGATGCAGTAAACCAATTGGATTCATTTTCCATAAAGTTATTAAGTCCAGGATTTCCAATAGCTACATATCTTAGCAATGTCGAGCCATTATCTAAATATAGAAGGCTATACACGCAAATGTCACGTAATAATCTTTTTGAAGGATCATCCTTAATAACTTCGTTTGGAAGGGTAAGAATACAATGAATGTATTCAAATATAAACAACAATATTTCCATTCTGTCCTGTTCATTTTCATAACACCACGTATGTACATTGTTAAAGACTTCTCGTATGATAAACAAAAGTCCTGGTAATTCAACAGCATGTATATTCCCAACTTCCAGCTAAATGCAGAAAATGAAAAAAGGTTTTTTTTAATTTGAAATTGATTAGGCAAGTAAGAAATATTAAATACTTACTTTTGTGCATTTTTTTAGAAAATTAAAATAAGCTTTTGTGAAGTTATATCGTCCTAATGAGCGCTCAATATTTATCAGATAATACCCAACAATACCCGACTCATAAGAATTTCCATTACAATACGCTTGAAAATCATAATGAACAGCATTCACAGTTGGAGCAATATTCAAATTTATGAACCTTCTAATAATTTCTTCACCAAAGAAAATAACAAGCTCAGCACAGACATTTAAGCATGCTGCCATTATCCCTAATGATGGACTTTGAAAAATTTTAAACTTTTCTAAGATGTCGAATATCATCTCAGTTGGATGAATCATTTCATTTGTTATATCGTCTGGTTTTTCAAGTCTTGTTATTAAAGTTGCCAATAAATTGATACCTGCTTCTAGCCGTTGTAATTTCGAGTCTTGAATTTCCGAGAAGCTCACAACACAATTTAAGAGCTCATTTATTTCATTATGCAATGCATGGAAATAGTTGAGTTTTGTGAGAAAATGAACAAACATTTTTCCTTTTTCTTCACGCACAATTGCTTGTGTATTTGCCGGGATAATAAAATCAGGTATTTTTCTAAATGGCTGATAATCGTTTTGTAAGATGTATGTTTCTTCTTGATCATCATCGCTTTTTCGAAGTTCGTAATAAGGATCATTCGGCTGCTCTGCATAAACTGGCATGTTTTGAAGGTGATTTAAAATCCAATTATTCGATAATATTGATGCATTAGAAAGAGACTTTGCAAGAATCGATAAGGAAACAAAGTTGACTGGAAACATTTCAATCGCAGAATTAAATAATGTCCTTATCACACTCTCCTCGTCTTTACAAAAATCTTTAGCAATTGAAGGTGTTTTCAAAATTTCACTAAACACTTCAAAAATTTTTGGATGATTTGCCATCGAACCATCTGAATTGAAGAGTTTACAAAGGAAAATGATATTTTCGTATACGCAACGCGTTATAATTTTCGATGCTAAACTTTTATCCTTGAACTGCTTATGCATTAGCATTTTGAGTAAGTAATCAAAAACATTCAATTGAACAGCTCTTGCACCCAATTTTCCATAGTTTTCAAAATTTTCATTTAAAGCTGTATATTGACCTTTTGATGCAAACTTGTAAATCATCCATGAGAGTAAAATTGGTCCATGTTCTTGATAATGATGCATTGAAATGATTTTTCCATCTAATTTATCAATAACTTCAATCGTCCATGACGAGTTTGAATCGATATTATTTAAAGATAAAGCAACCATCAAAACAGCTATTTCATTGTAATTTACGCGCTGAATTAAATCCATATGTATGCTATTTGCTGTATTCAAAAATTGGTTTTGTTTTCCGAACGAATGAAGTTTAAATAAATCAAGCATCCTCTGTATTTCTTCAGGTTTCATCTTTTCGTAATAAGTACTAATCATAATGATTTGTAAAATTTCATTCATTTCACGGTGCTTTCTTTCTGACCAACATTGTAATTTTTGTTGACTATTAAAAATATCCCCAGTTAAATATTTTGGATGATGAACATCTTTTAAAACAGTCTCAAATTGATCAATGAACGATTTTCGGATATTACTTATTCCAATCTTTTCTACAATAGCATTAAAAGCATGACGATAAGGATGATTGTTTGATTCGTGATTTTCTAGTATACACTTAACAACTTTAAGTAAGACCATTCTTTCAAGAGTATAATAGAAAAATATATCATTTAGCAATTTTATCATTAAAGACTCGTTTGAAACAAAGTTCTGCAATGAAGCAGCTGATCCTCGATATTCATTAACTAGATAATAGCATAACAATTCATACGATTGACTAACATCAAGATCCAGAAATTTATACAACTTTTGAGCAAATGATATTAGCTTTTCTTGTTGTTTCTCCCTCAACAATTTCTCGACTTCCTCATTTGCGTCATTTTTTGGCTTTTTGAAAATTGTGAGTCCATTCTGGATCTCATTTTGTAGATCCAACAATCGTTTCTTAACCACTTCTGGATTTTCATTATAAAACGTCCCAGATATTAACTGATATACTTTTTTCCATTGACTGCAATGTAGGACAATAAAACAAATGTTTAAAATGATATAATAAAATATGCAAGCGTCAAAAAAAATACAATAAAAAGCCGACAATTTTATGAAAACTTACATCATTTTACTGTTGTTTCCACTCATTTATAACTCGTTTTATAAAGTTTTCACAATCATGCACAAATTAAATGTTGATAAATTCCTCTAATTGTACTTAACAGCAATAATTAAATTGATTTTATTAAATATGTAAAAATTACTTTTGAATTTGAAAATGTGGATTGATGTTTACGTTTATTTTTTTTTTATCGCCAATTTCAATTTTTTTTTGACCGTTACAATTAATAAAAGATATTTAAAATTTGAAAGCTCAAGAGCTCAAATACTCAAATATCAATTTTATAACAGTTCAAACAAGGGAAATTTTTTTCATGCTAACTTTGTAACATGAGGGGGGGGGGGGGGGAGGGGGTCTTAAAAGGCGTTTTTTTTGCGTAACTTTAGTGAACAAATCCAATGGATATTAATATTACTAAAAATCGACAAAAGAAACTTACATGAAAAATAATTAATATTTTATCTACCTTGCTTCAACTGTCTTCAACAAACAACAAAACTCTGGAATTCATTCAATGATACTGTAATGAACAAAATAGGAATCTAAACTGTTGAGTTTTTACAGCTTCTATTTGAAAATCATGTCATTCTTATAACTTTGAGAAAGTTTAAGAATCAATAACAAGAGGCTCCATGCAGACCATCTTTTCATGTTAACTTTTTACAAGGTGATATATTTTTTTATATGGGTTCACATATAAAAGTGCTGATTCGTTCATTTTCCAAGCATCATTGCTTGATAGTTTTTAAATCATTTCTATTTTTTATAACAGCCGGTCTATAGGATTATCTACCAACAATGTGACTTTATTTGTTCTTTTTTAGATATTACTGCATTTTTTATGTAAGTCACTAGTCAATTGATTGGTATGAAAAAAAAATCATAACTGTGTAACAGATTAATAAATCGTCAATTGAAAGGGTAAATGAATTGACAATGAAAAACATGTTTACTCTTATAAAGCACGCAATATATTTCAATTGGATTTGATATCGATATTTCATTATTAACGTATCTCTTCTCGATGTATGTGAAAAATAGAAAAGAGTGAAAAGGATATCGTGTTGCTTCCTATATTTGCTCATTCATATCAGAAACACGCCAATAGAGATTTATTAGCACTTAAATTAGATGGGGGGTAAAATCCCCGAAAGATATTAATTCCACGATCCTGCGGGATAATAACCCCGAAAATCGCAAATTTTTAAATGTTCCCTGCGGGATAATATTCTCACTTAGAAATACACGTGGAATTATTATCCTTCCGGAAAGATAATAATCCCACCTATAATTACAAGTGGGATTATTATCTCCCAGGTAGATAATAATTCCACTTACATTTCTAAGTGGGATTATTATCTTTATGGAACACGATTAAAATTATGGATTAAATCAAATCCAAAAACTTATTTGTCATAGTGGATAATAATTCCACTTGTATTAATAAGTGGATTTATTATCTAATAGGATTTTCATCCAAAAAAAATCCCACTTATTAATTTGTCAATTTCATTATTCCAAAAACTTAAATAAGAAGAAAACATAAATATTGGTTGAATGTTTAAGTTGAAAACTTGGTTTTTTATGCCTTTTGTAAATTTTCTAAAAGCCTAGAGCCTAGATGTTTAATGTATCAAAGATCTTTTCACTCAAGAAATCATATTCACAAAAAATTTTCAATTTTTTGTTTTTGCAAATAGTTTTGAAATGAAGTCTTTCAAAATTTAAAACGTGCGCAACTAATAAATCACGTTTTTATCATTTTTGTCATTGGCAAAATTTGAGTTCACGTGATGCAGGATAGAGGATGCAGGGTTTTTTGCTTTTTTGGAAGCAATGGTTGTTTCTACCTTACTCAATAAAAAAATAAAGCCTTATCCTTTTTAACGCAGCAAGAATCAAAATGCAATAATTAGAAGTCTCTAAGATGCCTCGTTATTGAGATTTTTGCTGATTTACTTGCCTTGATGCTTGTTTGCTTACCTATCATGCGATTTTCTCATCAATGCTACAGCCAATTTAAATTCTGTTTTTGCCCATTTGCTTTTTTTCCTCAAAATGCGAAAAACTGTTTTTCAAGCTGAACAAAAATAAAGTGAATACGGTGTGAATATAAAATCTATTTTAGGATATAAAATTTTTTTATATTCACATAGTTTTCACGTGTGAATCTATTGGTTTTGTTCAGATTGAAAAATCAGTTTTTCGCATTTTTTGAGAAAACGAAGCAAAATTGGTTATAAAAGTTCAAGAAGAAAAGTTTGTGCCTGAAATTTTACATCATTTTCAAAAAACAGATTTCAAATTGGTTGTGGCATTGCTGAGAAAATCGCAAAATACGCTTTCTGTAAGCAAATAAGCAAATAAGCAAACAAGCAAGTTAATCAGCAAGAAATCTCAATAACGAGACATCGTAGAGACTTCTAGTTTTTTACATTTGATCCGTGCTGCTCTATAGAAGAGCTGTATTGTTTTTGGGCAAGGTAGGAACAGCCGTTGCTTCAGAAAAAGCAAAAAAACTTTCCTTTCTTACGAATTTTTTTAAAACAAAAGTTGACTGTGATTTTTATAAAATTCAAGTTTGGATGAAAAATTTTTTTTAAAAACTTTTAAAGAATGTTCGTTGAGTTTTAGATCTTCAAACTTATGCTGAGCGAAGCTCAGTTGACTTATCAAGCTTCATACTGCTTCATACCTTCATACTTATGCTGGGAAAATCTTGGTCTATCCATTAGACTTTTGATGGTACGGTGTGAATATAATCCGCATTGGGTTTCTGCCCGATACACTAGTTCTGACAGGTTTTATTTTAAGCTTTTCTTCAAAAGAGCTCAAGTTTGAAAGAACTTACAAAATATTACGTTTGAATTTTGTACGAATCACTTTAATTTGCTGAACATTTTCAATAAATTTGTGGCTATCAGTTTGTTTAAGTAACCCTGTATACCTGAATAATCCGAATAATTTCGAAATTTTGAGATTATAAACAATCAAATCTCTTAAATGTTCTAAAACCATTGGAAACCTTCTTGGGGCTTGTAGACACGGTTAAACAGCCATCATTTTAAAATTCTAGTTAATTTAATAAGAATTTGAGCAACAGAATTTTAATTTTGCGTCCTTTTTATGTTTAAATCTTTACATTTTTCTTAGCAAAATGTGTAAACAAATATTATGATTATATTTATAAATCTAATTTTGTTAAGGGGCTGTTCACTTATTACGTAACGCGAAAAAATGACTTTTTAGACCCCCCCCCCCCCCTCGTAACCAAATTTGTATGAAAAAAAAACTTCCTTGTTTGAACCGTAACAAAATCTTAGACCCCCTCCCCCCCTAAAAGCGTTACGTAATAAGTGAATGGCCCCTTAGGGCAATTTACAATTATTTGAATGACTTTTGGAAAATTTCAGGAAAGAATCGAAAATTTATTATTTTGCCCATTAGAGGTTAACATATCTACTTCTAAACATTTGAACAAAACTGTGATTTTTAAACAGTTGAATGAATGAAGCGAAACAAAATGGAATTACGGCTACATTTTCTTTAATCATTCGAGCGAATTTCGAACATAATTTTATATGGAATAGCTAACATCTTTAGATCAGTTGAACCCACCTTGATTTTATTTTTTAAACAATTTGGAATAATATATTTTTAAAAAGCAAACATTCAACCAATATTTATGTTTTCTTCATATTTAAGTTTTTGGAATAATGAAATTGACAAATTAATAAGTGGGATTTTTTTTGGATGAAAATCCTATTAGACAATAAATCTACTTATTAATACAAGTGGAATTATTATCCACTATGACAAATAAGTTTTTGGATTTGATTTAATCCATAATTTTAATCGTGTTCCATAAAGATAATAATCCCACTTAGAAATGTAAGTGGAATTATTATCTACCTGGGAGATAATAATCCCACTTGTAATTATAGGTGGGATTATTATCTTTCCGGAAGGATAATAATTCCACGTGTATTTCTAAGTGAGAATATTATCCCGCAGGGAACATTTAAAAATTTGCGATTTTCGGGGTTATTATCCCGCAGGATCGTGGAATTAATATCTTTCGGGGATTTTACCCCCCATCCTTAAATTATTGATCTATTTTATTTAGAACATGACAGTTATGAAATAAAACAATTGATACTTTTAATTGACAATTCTTTTTATTTTTTATTTTATTCATTCTTTCTTAATTAAACAATTATTTAAATATTCACACATAAATCTTCTCAATAAAAAGCATTATTCTATATTTATTAAGAAGCTTCAGATCTTTAATTTTGTCTATTTTGTATATCGTTTGATGCATCATGTTAATTTACTGATACATGTTTTTATCACTTACGTTAGATAATTAATTTTAAACTATTTCGATCATACTTTGGTAAAACTTAATTCTATTTAGTTCTCGTTGTCAATAAATTTCATTTGACATTTTTGTTCATACTATATATACAACACATCATAATATAGTATATTTTACAAATTATTCGAAGAGAAAAAGAACATCACAAAATTTTATAATTTAATATAATTCAATTTAAAAGTCTTTTAAGTAAAGTTGTCCTTTCACATCGTTGTTTCAGAGTCGGGCGGAGTATGATTATATTGGTGATATGCTGGAGGAGCTGCATTAAGGAATCTGAGACTTTCTCTTGAACCAGTTCCTTTTTTCATTGGCACTTGTGGTATTGCTTGTGAAGGTTGATGATAAAGTGAATGTGGACGGGTCGAGTGTGAGTTATATGATTGTTGCTGTTGTTGTTGTTGTTGTTGGTGGTGCTGATGTTGCTGCTGCTGTTGCTGTTGTGATAAACCAGCAAATAAGTTATCTTTTGTACTTTCTCTAATTTTATTATTGGTTGCTGCATTTGCATTATAACTTAATGGTCGAGTCCCATGGAAATTGGAGTAGCTGGATCTTGCAGAAGGAGGTCTTTCAGCCTGATAATATTCATTCATTTCACCATCAACTAAACTTGGATTTGAATGAACATACGTTAAATTTGTATGTCCTAAACTAATAGCAGCATCTGAGGGATGGTTATGTTGATGACGATGATGATAATTATTGGAACCTTGTGGTGAAGGAGTTGAAACTTCATTCCAAGAGGTTTGTTGTAATAAAAGAGGGGAGCTAGAATTCATATTATAATAAATAGGATCAGTAGGAGTATGACGATTCATAGCTGCAGTGTGCTCATTCATTTGCTTTTGATTTTGAAAACTATTTAAAGCTTGTGCTGATTTTGATGGCATCATGTCTTTCTTTGGATTTTGATGCTGATATTGATTGTTCAAAATATAATCATTATTTAATGTTTTTAAGTTATTTTCAGTCAAGTTTGAGGAGTTATGCTTAAATGATGGAAATGAATTTTGTTGTTCCATCAATTTAGTGACGGGATTCTGATGAACTTTTCTCCGAGAACTTCTTGTACTGCTTCTATGAGAAGTACCTCCAGAATTTGAGCCTCGATCAGACCTTCTACTTTGTCTGCTACTTGTCCCCCTAACAGATCGTCGTTTTACACCTTTCAGAATCAATGATTTAAAATAAGAAGCATATAATTTTTTGACATGGAATCATTAATAAGATTATTAATATAAAAATGTAAACTTACGGCGTGGTGTCATCGGTGCCTTTGGACTTAAATCATCTCGGTTGTGACTCAACGTACCACTTCTGACTGCATCGACAGGAGCAGCTCCAAACTCTACTGTATACAATGAGTGTCTCTTTTGCTTGTTATTATTCCTCACTAAATCATTAAGAAAGAATGATTATGCGTACATCAATGTTAATTTTTATGGATGTATACAAAAGATAAGAATAAGAACAGAACAGAAAAGAAAAAAAAAGCAAACAAAAAATTAATTTTCATGCTGATGTCTATTATACAAAAATACACACATACACGCACTTAAGCATAAAAGAAAATGACTAAAGAAAAGAGAAAATAGAATGAAAGAATCACAAAAGGTTATGAATGATAAAATAAAGAAAATCTAAAAATATGAAAGCAGCATGATAAAGGACTTGTGTTTGCTAAAAAGTTAAATAATGCTTAATATTAATTTTATGATTCTTTCCTGTTCCTGCAAAAAGCCCTTATTAATTTAATTGTAAATTATAACGATATAAAAGATAAAGTGTATAAAGAAAATAGAACTAAAGTATTCAAAACCTAAGGACGCTTAATCAACATACAGATATTAAATTAAAAAGAATGCCAAACAAAATACCTTATTTAATTTCATTCAGTCAACTATATTTCAAAACATTTTATTAACTTGACTAATTCTGAAGTAATTACAATATCTAAAAGACGATAAAAATTTATCTATAAAAATTAACAGTTATTGAACTTAATTATAAATTTATCTAAATTCTAATTATTACAATACACTTTAAGTGAGCAACAAGAAATTTAAAAAAAAAAAAATCTTTGACTACAAGTTTCAAAAACGATTATAGAAAAAATTAACAATCTAATAGGTATCTAGAATAGAAATTTATTTCCTCAAATTCAAATTTCTTTTTGATTGATTTTTGACTATCACAATAAATTTTTAAATATTAAATTACTTTAAATTTTACATGTAAAACGATCCACATTTCATATTTCTACGTGTCTTATAATTAATTGATACAATGAATTGAATTTAAAGTCTAACAATAACAAGAAAAATCTAGGACTTCTTGACAGGATACATCCTCAACAATTATGGTATATTTTGTGTTTTTTTATTACATTTTGGACTGTTTATAAAGCTATTGAAATTTAATGTGAATTGCTCCAAAAAATATTTGCAAAATTAATGTATTGTATTTTAACATGTTTATACCGCTTTTGAATTTTTTTCATTTTTGGTTGCTTGTTTTATTTTGTTAAGGCTTCTTTAGGTTTGAATCATCGAGTTTGGTTTTAAAAAATCATCCAAAAATTAATTTTTTCAGGAATTTCAATGAAGGGATAGAAATTTAATAATTTTTGAGTTTATTCCTGATTCTTATAAGGGGCATCAAAAAATGGAGGAACCATCAAACATTTCTATGTATAAATAGCAAATGTAGCATTATGCTTGAAAAAATAAGCATCCTTGATGATGACAATGAAGTTTTAGTGGAATGTCTTAATCAATCACTAGAATATTCGATGCATCATTTTTTCAAACTTAAAAAGTATTCAATATTACGTAATGTAAAATGTTTTAATATAAAAATTGTTGTTTTTAAACTACATTTCAAGCTCAAGTAGCCTCTAAATGTTAACAATTAATTACATCCTATTGTATCCCTAATATTTTCACAGTCTAAAAAGTTTAATATTTATGCAGTTAAAGTCTAAATGCTTAACTTATTATAATAAAAAAGGTTTAAATATCTAATGTTGTATAGAAAAGCTCTTATTTCTCAAATGGAACGAGAAAAAAAAACATAATTTAAAAAACTAAAACCTAATACGTAAAAAAAGTATTTAATCTGATTCTATAAGATTTCAATTTTAAATTGTTTGTTTTGTATGATAAATTCGTTTGAAATCTATGTTCTTGATTGAAGAGTTGGGAAACTGGAAATTTCAGAATAATTTCTGCTCGTAAACATTTCTTATTTGATTTGTGGGATGCATGGTACAAAATTTGGAGTATATTTTGTTTTATTTAAAAAGGATAATTTGATAACCAAAATGTGAACTTGAATTTTGGTAATGATTCTTTTTTTCTTATTTTATATAAATGTGCAAGTAAAACAAGAAAGTTAAAACGTTTTTCAAATACTAATTATCTAATCAATATTCCACAAATTCAGAATAATTTCAGTCCCATTTATAAAGAAAAAGAACACTAGCATGGATTAGATGAAATTCTAAAATTAAACTAATTAATCTTGAAAAAAAGAAATTTTATATTCATACGAAGATAAATATAAAATTTTAATACGGTTTTTTAATAAAATTTCACAGAAAAGTAACCTAATGTCACTTCCCTAAAATGAACTTGCATACTTATTTTTTTTTCAAATTCAGGAAAGTAATTAAATTTTTAGGGAGCAATACAATTAAAAGATTAAATATAACGAATATGGAGCAAATCCTGTGGTTATGTTTTATCTACTATTCTTGTGAATGTTTGTTTTACACACTTGTTTATCGACCTTTTGTTTTCACTGCATAATGGGAAGAATTATTCAGTCATGCACGAAAATTCAATTAATACATCATGTTAATCTTTAGCAATCCGTAGTCGACTGTTCTAATTCTCTCTTTTTTTTGTTATTTTCATTAAATGTCATTGTAATCCTGATAATTGATTGTATTATTGCAAAATGAACGTGGTCGTTGATTTTCATGTGGAGATACACCAGCTTGAGGAGCACCAGATTGTCTTTTCAATCGGTTTCCAATTCTATCTTGCGAACGTACTCTGTACATAGGATGTTGAAACATATGTGGAGGTATTGCTGGTAAAGGATTAGATACATTATATTCAGGGAGATATTGATTTAAGTTGTACCTCAATGGCATAGGCTTTTCACGAATTTGGTCACAAAAATTTGTGCCACTCGGTTTATTACTGACAATTGTAATTGGCATTTGAAGAGACACATTTGCGGAAGATAAACATTCATCTTGTGGAATTGGAGGTAATGGTCTTCGTCGTGGCATATGATTTAAATTCGGAGAGCGTGAAACACATGCATATTTATCAGGAGATGATATTTGATTATTGCTACAGCTACTTCGTTGTGAGATTTGATTTGATTGATGTTTATTTGTGTCTTGTCGAAAAGTGGGAGAGTTAATTTTTCGCGTGTTAACTGGACTATGTTGCATCTGTTGTATTATTTGTCCTTTCAAATCCATATTATGTATATCATTTTCATGCAACAAATTATTTAGTGGATTTTGAATTCCAAAGCTTCTACTGATAAGCTGTTGTTGCTGTAAATTTATTGACATAAGCTTATTACTCGTTATAGGAGAAGCAGCTGCGGTTGAGGCTTGGGATGATGGCATAAAATAGCTTCTAGTACTATTTGTATCCACATCCTTTTCATCTCTACTCAAAATGTCATCAGCAGTCGAAATAATTTCGGTATAACGAATGTCGGATCGATTCGAACCGGAATTATTAAAGCTTGGATTACGTTTTATTATTTGTTGTGAACTGGCACTTTTAGATATTAAATTATTTCTACTGTTATATTGGCTTAAATTACTACTACTGCTTAATTGTCGATGATCAATTAATTGAAAATGTGTTGGTGACTGTGTCGATTTTGAAATATTGTTGAGGCTCGATGGTGTGTTATTATGATTTTTTATGTAAGTTGAAGATAATGACAATGAGTTAGTATTGTTTGGATTATTAACTGATGTTAAAACAACACCAAACTGATTAGAATTATTTTTAGTACTGATTTGTATATTTGAAGCGCCTTCAGTTGGTATACTTGCATAGCTTACATACATCGGGTGCAACGATTTATGAACAGGACTTTTTATGTCATTCCCCATAAACTCAACTATAAAAAACCAAGAAAAAAGAGATTCGGAAAAATAGTGGAAAATTTATCAGTCATTTGTTTTCCTCATTATTGTATTCAATGATATTGTATGTATGTTATTGATGAAATAATTTGTACAGCAATATTTAAGCAAAATGAACATAAAGTTATCTATATACATTAAACTTTTTTTTTCACAAGCATTGAAATTTATAAACCCAGAAAATATAAAAATTACATGGAAAATTTAAAAATAAATTAAACTTCATGTCAACATTTAGGATTTACATAAAATTTTAAAGGAACCGAAGTTGTATGAATACATCAATGATGATGCGAAATTTTTCTCACAAAAGGGATACCCTAGAATCGGCAAATTCATGCTATTTTTTCTTCTATTGCGATTTCATTAACCATCCATCTTCTTCAACTCGCATGTGTGATAACATCTTAAGATTTATTTTTGTTATTCTTTCTTCTTTCATTATACAAACTTCTGCTTTTCTTACTCGCATGCTTTTATTTAAGCTTTTGCGTATTTTTCCGTAGGTATTTATTCAATTCACGATTAAAAGACTAGTGTATCGGGTAGAAACCCAATGCGGATATATTCACACCGTACCATCAAAAGTCTTATAGATAGACCAAGATTTGCTCAGCATAAGTTTAAAGGGTGGGCGTGAAGTACGGCCAGTTTGAATTTTGTCACCCTCGGGAACACTATGAACCAGTATAGCTGATTTTGGTCCAAATCTCGGCCATACTTCAGACTTATTTGAACCACATTTTCTCATAAATGTTAAAATATTATTGAAGAGTAATTAATCCTGAATTATGTCGCTATTTTGTCAAGTGTTTTAAGATAAAGAATTTGTTTTTTGGTTTCCACAGTGAAGAGTATGAACAAAATTCAGATGGGGTAGTCGAAATTTTAGATTTCGATTTTTTTTTGGCTATGCATTACAAAAAGTAATATTGGTATGTGATTTATGTCAGAATTATGTCAATTCAAATAAAACATCCAAAAAATTTTTTTGACAAAAGTACACCACAGAAAATCAATTTTTAATTTTGGACTAGGGGCGACCCTAGTCAAAATAAATTTTGTCACTTTTTTTCTTCGAGGGTTTACACAAATGGATTGAAACTTTGCATAAATATTCTAATGCTTAAAACAAATACAAATAAAACATCCTAAAATTTTTTTGAGCAAAGAACCAAGAAGGAAATACATTTTCAATTTTGGACTAG